GTAGAAAATAGTCTAAATCAATGTGTCAAAAGTAATTTTAATATTCAAGATGTATGTTAATAACATGGACCTTTGATATTCAGCCAAATTAAAGCAATGCCAAATAAATTCTAAAATTGTTGACATTCAAATTTTATAACGGTGTTCCTTTATTGAGCAAGCAATAACTATAATAAAAACGATATGATTTACATCTAAGGAATTATGCCAAATACACCAAATATACGTATTTTAAAATTATATAACTTCTTCGAGTGCCATCTTCTTTGGAACCACGAAAGAAGATTGCACTTTTGGAAGAGAATACTATTCATAATACCACTACTACAATAAGCTATTCTAAAAACTAATAAATAGCTTGAAATACTAACTAATTGTGGTACACAAATGGTTTCACAGATATTTAAATAATCATGTAATGTACATATCCCACTTAGGAGCACTCACAGTGTAGAATACTAAGAGTTGGTCCCTTTATACCATAACTCTGACATTCGTCTTTGGTATTGTACATTTGAATATCAATGAGTCATGCTCCCTGACCTAGGCATACGACAATCACAATGACATGTTAGATACAATGATAGTAATACTATCGCTCTTACGTTCATCCTACGTAATCCCCTTCTTACAAACACGTCGTAACAATTTATGAAGTGTACATAAATGTCATAATGCAATAAAGTACAATATGCAGAGATTAATACCGACTATAATTACAAGAACATTTTACAAAAAAGACATACCTATAAATACCAATAATTTAAGAACTAACAAACTATATCACATTAGAAATCAGTACTTTTATGAGCAAATGTCTACACCATTAAGACTCTGGAACATCAGAACTACTCATATAACACCATGATCTTCAAAAACCTGTTTAAGACCGATAAAAAATATATTCTGAGAACATTTACACGGCCAATTGTAAAAAAATCTTAAAACACTTCGAAGGGGTCCCTTATGTGAACATCCACTACAATATTAAGTATGCAGATGTACCACTAAAACATCCTTCGAAAGCTGCGAAACAAGGGTTGTAATCTTAATTTAAACATATCTCATATGTGTGTTTTGCATCGCTTCCTGGGCAGCTGCGTTTGCTTTAAACATGCAAGATTTTAATCAAGATAAGCACAATTTAAGGATTTTATACAAGCAAACATAATTTGATCGGACCTCAGGGAAATTTAAAGAATAAATACAATTTGATATTAATGAACGATAACGCCGATGGGAATACGAAATGTACCGTTACATTTTTAAAAGCGTAATATGGCAGGCGATGAAATGATACGATGATTAGATGACTACAAGAGGAACCCCAATGTCTAAAAGTGACGAAACATATCCTAACCTTAATGAACAAAGTAAGATATAAATAATTTCCCTGCTTAATAGAGGATAATTAATAAATCAAACAAGAAAAAACTCATATTGGTGTAAAGTTGGTGCCATGATCCTAATTTTTCGACTACTTATGTACATTGGAAATTTTATTTAGCTACACTTATCAGTCTTATAAACAAGTATTTCTCGTAGAATTCTTAAATAATTTTATGATATTAAATCGATCGAATAACATTGCTTTCTTTTAAAGGTTAATGCGATCTTGAAATAATGCGTTTCGTTATTCATGAATGTTTCTGCACCACTGCTATCACTGCAGTTCGCACGCAAATGAACTTCATGTAAATGTACTTTCACTTCGTTCCATGTCATAAACAAAATGATTTGTTATTTTTTACTACCGGACTGACTCAGGACTGTTTGTGAGTTCGTGTGTATATCCAGCTGTGCTGTGTAACATTTTTGTTTGTTAATAAAGATCATGCTCCTGGATGGAACAGGTGGGGTTTTACCCACTAAAAGTCCTTCAGTGCTACTAGTGGGGCTCCGCAATCTAAGTGAAGCCTAAACCATTGAACCGATTACTATGAGTTATTCGATTCGTAATTCTTGATTCATGGAGTAATATAATTAGTATAGTTTTTTTATTACTTGATTAAAAAGTGTGATATGCGTATGTTGTTTTATTTTTTGTTTAGACACGTTTCATAAGTAGTTAATTTCATCGAAACCATTGAAAATATAATACAATTTATTCATGACGCGATCACCTCAATACAAAGCAGCATTTACATATTCCGAGGGGCGCAGGCGCATTGTATTTGTGAGAAAGAACCGAACCCACGCGCGTGAGTTGACACTAGAGATTAGCTCTCTGATTACGTGACATCGACCCTTCCTGGGTGTTCATTCATTACTAGGGATTTATTTAATGCGGCTACATTTTTGCTGTGGGCCGTATTGTAATAACATTCTTCACCGAGATAATAGGCGGTATACAAATACGGTACTACTTACTACATTAATTATTGAGCCCTGTTCCACGTACTATCGAAAAAGAAAACTCAAGTTTTATCAATATGACTACTAATGCAACTCGTTAATGTAATAAATAAAATAAACACAACATACAAATGTCGAGTTTAAAATTAAACTAAATAAACACGTGGTAGTGTTTAACATACAATAATTTTGAATGCGCAAGATTCAGAACCTATTTAAATTTACAATCACAGTACAGGAGTGCAAATATGTCCGCTGCATGTGTGGAGAGGGTTTTGTGTTATGAAAGCGATTAATTTTAATACCATACAATTGTTCCCTCGTTGCGTGTGTAATGTAAAGTTTAAAGACTTTATACTGCACTCCCATTTGATTATATTATTTTTAATTGTATGCAATTTTATACAACTTATTTTACTAGTGTAACTTTATGAACCTGGTTTACAATCGCAACTTTTAAGAAATAACTTTCCCGCTTATCATATATGTTTCGAAAAAATAAGTATTATGATTCTAATAGGAGTAGAAGTTAGTGTGTGATTTATTTAGATATACACCTATCATAAAAATAATATCTGACCAGCAGCGCTCAAATTTCATAAAGACCGAAATAAATATTTTTAATTGATAGAAAAATTCCAATCAAAACTTTCATCCCGCAAGGGCTATAAAAGTTTCGTTCACACATCTAACATGGGTTCATTCTGAAACCAAACTTGATTAAGGCAATAAACTAATTGAAGAGGCGTTGTGTTTATTGGTCACCTGGTGTAACACAATTTGATTCAATTACTGCACATGCGGTCGGAACAGCCGACAATGGGAAGGACACGTCTCACCGCCCACTTACTTCGAAGCGACAATTTGAAACGTTAAACTTTACTACTATTTTATAAGCCGCAAAGCATTCCATTCTTTATTATACCCCAGCGTGGCGTGAGACCCTTGTGAAGTAAACAGACGTATTAGTACGTTTTCTACTTGTGTTATACGTACACATATAAACACTCGGACGAGGTGACACGTTATTTACTTACATAATGTACTGTCACATTCTTTAAAAATGTAACCCGCTGTAACTTAATTTAATGAAATATTATAAATACAATACTTAATAATGGACAGGTGTTTTATGGATGTTTGTTACTACATAACTCACAAATGAAATTTGAAATACAGATAGATTATATTGTGGAAAAGTGCATAGACCTAACACTGATTTTTTATTACAAAATAATAATATTATTTTATAACGCTACATACGTTTATTATACCGCATGTCGAATTCATTAGAAATTTAAACATTTTTTTTCGTAATGTACAATGTAAATGAAGTTTTAAAAATACGCGACCTTCAGTCCTCGGCATGTAAGTCAACGACATCACATTGTTAGTTGAGATTTCGAAATGCACCTTTTTATTCAACTTTATAGCTTGCAACACTGACGCAATAAAAGGATACCAGGCGTAATCTGATTTAATCCTGGTATGCCAGGAAATTACCCAAACTTGACGACACACTTTGCTTTAAGATTATGTGATTTGTAGACATAAGCGACTGTTGCGTAATCACAAATTTTGATAAGTGAATGACGTTAAAATTATGTTACACTTTTGTACATTACTAAGTTAGCCTTGTAAAAGTGAAATAGCTATTTTCAAATATTCTAATTTCATGTATTAGTGTACGCTTCATTTACGCAGTAACGCGTATTACTTTCGCGTGCAATAAAATAGTAAATTAACATATTTATAAATTATTTTCCAATTCATGTTTTTAGCATAGATTGAACACCCTTAAATATAAAATATTTTTTTAAAATACAGAATATCGTTAATCATTTTTGAAAACTCAGAGATGGATAATTAATGTGCACATTGAAAAAAAACGGATTTTTATATAGAATTGATGCTAATTAAACTGGACTCATAGAACAGATGTGCAAACTGTCTTAATTGCCTTGAAGCAAATTTAGTAAAAGAAATTTATAATATTCATTGTGGTTGTCCTTCATTAAAAAACAATACAACAGTCAAGTCAGTCAATATGCATGGATAACATTAAGTATTTATTTTAAAGTTCAAGATGAATTACCAAAAAACATTATGGTACATTTCAACATGGGTTGTATACATAAGGTATTTAATTCTTTTTTTGAACATTAATTTGATTAAAATTTCATGAGGTAGCAGTCTTTAAAAGTACAGGTTAAAATTGGCTATTTTTGACTTATGACTATAAAGTCATGATTTAATATTGACTATCTATTGCTACATGTTTTCACTACAAAAGCACATAAAAAGAGTTACTATTAAGGTAAGGTATTAAAGTACTTTTAAAGAAGGTAAAAATCGCTAAAGGCATAACCTATTCATATTATGTTATCTATGTCAAATATGTCCTTAGAAATCTTGATTAAATGATGAAGTGTTACAATTCTTATAAGAGTATTATAATATTATCTACTGTAAATTCCTATGGAACATAGGTACAAAACAATTATCTCTTATATCTTTACCTATATTAAATTTTGTGAAAGCCTAATATATTAATATATGAATTACATATATGACATGTTCCATTTTTGATAATTTAAGGTTGAAGGGAAATCAAGGTTTATGTGCATAACTATAAAAATACTCACCTGCTATTGTAAATCTATCCATATAATTGATGAGATTAACGAAACATAGTATTCCGACAGTCATGTATTCTCTGAATGATACATCTCCTAGATTTTCTCTTCTTCGTGCTTGCTTCTCCTGTAGCAACGCTGTCGCAGAATCATTATCACTGCCATTAACTAACTGTTGATTTGATGTATTTGGGGTTATACCACTCTGGTCCATGGTGTCAGCACTTTAAACCAACAATTTTCAAGTGGTCCTAATGACGTTTCAAGTCCGAAATATTATGGAACTCTTTTATAATTTAACAATGCTCAAAAACTGTATATAAATTGACACAGCGTAAATTAATTAAAAATAAATACATCACAAAACTAAAATAACAGGAAAGACGTTTCGTTCTTCACGACTTTATAAGCGGGCTCATATTCCTGCAATACGTTATTTCACCAAAAACTCACGGCGAAATGACAAGTGACAACTCAGCTCACGCTCACTGTCAATGTTATCAAACTGTCATGCTGACAAATTGAAATGTCAAGGATCAGTTGCATCGAAAATTAATTTTAGTCTTACAATTTTGTTTTAGTTAATTGGTTATCAAATATATAATAATAATTTTCACTAGTTTTAAAATAGCTTGTGTTAATAATTACAATCTCAAGATTTTTTTTTTCAACTTCTAATCAAAACTGTCATTTTGTCATTGATTTTGAAAGCATACTCACCAGACTTTTTCTGTCAAATAATCGCGGTGTTGTGTCCTATTTCAATAATTTGGATTTTCTATCATAATATTGTTTCTTTGAATAAAATTAGAACCGGAATCACTATATTACAATCAAAGAAAGTTTTTTCTTAAATTTCAACTAAAAATGGCTAAGTTACTTTGTTGTCTTATTTTGATAAGCTTATCTGGTAACTTAGCGAAAAAATTTCAAGATGACGATAAACCATCATGGGCAAAAAAAGATATTCGAGATTTCAATGACGCAGACATGGAACGGTAAGAGGATAACAGGTTTGTTGGTATGGTTACTTAATTTCATTGAACTGTATCTCGTTCAACTCATCTTTCAGTCTTTTCGACCAGTGGGAAGAAGATGAAGAACCGCTTCCAGAAGACGAGTTACCTGAACATCTCCGCAAACCGCCTTCGATTGATCTTACTAAAATGGATATGAGTAATCCTGAATCGGTCCTTCAAGCAACAAAGAAAGGGCAGACTGTAATGATGTTTGTTTCAGTTGCTAATAAACCTTCAAAAGCAAGAACAGAAGAACTTACGAAAATCTGGCAAACAAGTCTTTGGAGCAATCATATTCAAGCTGAAAGGTTAGTTTCTTTCAATAAATACCTATAATATATCTCCCTATCAGGGTTGATATGTCAGTTAATTGAAACAACTGCTTAAATATTTTGTAAAAATGTTAAAATTCCTTTCATATGATTTTTTGTTGCAGATATCTTATTGATGATGACAGAGCTATATTTATGTTCAAAGATGGGTCACAGGCGTGGACTGCAAAAGAATACCTTTTAGAGCAAGATGAACTCAAAGAAGTCCAATTGGAAAGTCAGACATATCCTGGGAAAAATCCCGATGTGAGAAATAAAGCTGTAAGAGATGAATTGTAATATTCATAATGGAGACAAAGTGTCTTATTATTAATCTTAAGGCCTGTCCCATCAAATTGTAAATTGTCTGATAACAATCCAACATGTAAAATATGTGATGTAAATAACGGGTTTTGTTCCCTTATTTGACAGTAACATCATATTTAAGCTATCTGAGCCTCTATCAGCCAGTGGTGGGACACACCCTTATACTTCTTAGAACTTATATACTAAGTCACATGTCATTTATGTATTTTGCATATTAAACAAGTTTTAAAACTGGTTTAATATATAATTGATAAAAACTGTATAACTTTAAAATATCAGTCTAGTTTAAAAGGTGTCCGTGTGATAACCTTTATATGCATAAGTAATTGTAAACTTATCTTCACATTGCATTTAAATCATACATTTTTTTAATTTGTAAGGTTTTTTAATAAGTCAATTTTAATGGGAAAGGGCTTTTAGATAATTATAATGTGTATATTTTTTTATGATGTCTAATTTTGACTTTGAGATCTGTTAATTTATTGATGTTAACTTAAGAACCTAATTATAAATTATAATCATCAATCAGGTTTATGTATTAAGTTATTTCATAAGTTCAAGTTCAATGATCATGGGATATTTGTACACAATTTATATCCTTCCTAATATAAATCTACAATATTTTACTTTTGTATTGCTTTTATACCACATTTTCATCTGAATAAAAGATAAATAAAGAATACAGCAAATATAGTTTTTATTCAAAATCAATTTTGTAATCTTTAACCATAGGGTAAATAATCATGAAGCTGGTGTTAAATGGCATCGGTGGCACGGAAATGTTCTTCATCAATTGTAGAATAAATGTGACCCTCACCACACAACCATTCTAGAATATTCCTATGGAAAAACAAAGTTAAATGAGCATAAACATGTAAAAAATAATTTAGCTAAAAATGGCTTAATTTTAAAAAAATAATTCCATTTCATTTTAAAGTGAAAATTTATGTTACTCGAGATTATTTCGGCAGAAAGATAATTTTTTTATAATGGAAATACTTACTGAAACTCCATCTGTGACATGCGATCTTTCAGTGTGACATACATATCTTGCTTGCTTATACCCTGCTCCAGAGAGGATGCTCGGATCAAATTAAATACCATCATCTGTCTTGGATTCAAGCCGTTCACTGAACCGCTGTCGGCCATTCCAACCATAGAATTAGCTGGCAGTGCTGCTGAACTTGTTGTATTACCATTTACTTTAGTCTAAAAATTATTATGTATTTAAAGAGAGACCGACAACTATTTATTACAAAGTAAGTAAAATGGTAATAAATATTTATACAGCCAATAAGAGATCATGAATAGAAATATCAACACGAAAAAGCTATGTTTTACATGGCAGTAAATTTTTTTAATATATTGTAGGGTAGCTAGGTGTCCGACAGGACTTGCTGAATTATCAAAATAACTGAGATCCATAGATATCTGCAAATTACAGATATGTTGTCAACCTACAATCCAGAAAAGGGGGATGCACAGTAAAAAAACATTTCCTATCTCTATTAGTAATGTAAAAGAATAAAATAAAAAAATACTAAGAATACCTTCTTAGAATCTGCTTCCATCTTAAGCCTATTATTAATACACTGCAAATAATGAAATGTAATAGCATTGACATCTGTAATAGGCATTATTTTAAATGCCATCAAAACTTTCTTTCCTTTATTTGTTTTAACATTTCCATATATCTGAACATAATCATTTACTTGCACTTTTGGGGTTGATTTATCCTGTAAACATATAACAAGAAAGTAGCTTAAATTACAGATGACTTTTCACAACAACACTTGTTATCTTTGTCTTGCTTTGATATATTTAATGCCACTTGTTTAAATGAAAATTATTATTCAGTAATATATTGGTGCCAAATCTGTTAAAAGGCCTCTTAGATACTAATAGTTGAAAACATTTATATACTTACGTCTTCCTCCATAGCTTCTTGGTCCAGCCAAAACACAGCTCTCATTCTTCCTGTTATATCTTGTATTGTATATGTTATTTTTGTACTTTGCATCCTAATGTTCCTTACTCGAGCAACAATAGATACTATCATAATTTCTGTACCCCATATTGTGATATCACCATCACCGGAATGCAATGCTTGCCTTATAACTATTGGTGCGGTTCTTGATGTTCTTCGACTCTAATAATTACAATCATTACTTATTCATTGCATGTAAGACATTACAAAGTCATTGTAATAATTATTAAATAAATTAAAAGGGGTAAAAATTGAGACAAAACCTTATGGTTTATAAACCCTTGTGCGCCAACTCTATTAAAGTGGGATAAGGTAAGGTTAATTATGACTATTAATGCAATTTAAGAATTATCTAATTGTACATACTGTTTTTTGTGGTTGGTTAGGTGTATTCGCATTTCCAAATTGATTGGTAGAATTAAAAAATCCACCACCCACAACAGATTGATCTGAAAAGATAATTATATCAAATAGGTTCTGAGCTTGAATAAAATGTAGATATGAGATTATAGAATCTGGATTTGCAAAGTTATGAAACGGATGTCTCCCGTAAGAATAAGGTACCCTATCAAGTAAGACCCATGTGTCCCATAAACAAAAAAAATGGTTTATAACCATATAACGACCCCCTAGACAGTATTTTTCATGTCTGTAACTTAATAAGCAATATATATTAACGACTATCAATGATGTCAAAAGTAATTATAGTTACCGTTCCACATATTTTCTTATTAGCAAACCAATGGGAAAAGTTAACCAATATTGCGAACACTTTTGGCAACCTGAAAAACTAAAGAAATACCGTCAGTCTTTAATACTTTATGTGTTTTAACTTATAACGCTGATAAGTTAGGTATATTAGAAAACTTACAAGTTTTAACAAGTCGGTTGCAAATCGTTCCAACAACAACCATTAAAATCAAAATATTGAAATGTCAAATTTCGCGGGAAGCATTGTCAAAGATTATAGAATTATCAAAATGAAGTTTGCTTAAAATGAATAGAACCGTTTTTGATTTTTTGATAAAACCGTTTTTTTTTTCCAGACAATAATTATTTGTTATTGACGATTTATAAAGATGTCCAGATTCTAATATGATTCAAAATAAATTGCGCTCATCTTTTAGATCGTGACACAAAGTGGGAACGCAAAGCTCAAAGCACGCATTAACTGTGAAGAGAAAATCTGGCAAGACCGCACAACTAGAACCAAATTCATAATAACATCTTAAATTATACAAATGGGAATCATGGGAACAAGTTAAAACAAAAATTTAATTACTCACTATTTATTTACACTAATACTAAAAAAACGTAAATCTTCACATTTAAAAAAGAAATTTTATGGGAAATATGCGGAAACTGGTGTTGCCCTGTAAGTCGCCCTTGAAGATTTCTTTTCTTTATAAACCACTTTTGGCAGATCTACATTTTTATTCTCCTTCCCTTTCTGACTTCTTGATGAAGCTGTGTCAGATCTTAATGTACCTGAGCAAATAAAACAAGATATTACACATATATCTAACTTTTGATGGCAATCAAAATGTTAAAAAAAAGATTTACTTTTCGGTTTTTGTGTCTGTTCATCCTTTGTAACAGGTTGCAAGTATTTGGGATCTAAGCCCGATTTTCTAGATCTTATTTGTGGACTTTCGACTTGAGGACTGTCGTTCAGACTCGATCTAAAAATTTATAAAAACGTGTGAAACATAAAAACTATCAAATAAACATTTTGCTATGTTTGTTTATGTTAAAGTTTGAACTCACGTTCTTGAAGTTGCATAAAAATTGATTGTATCATCTGATTCTTGTAAAGTATTATTTTCTTGATTATTTCTTTGTACAAAGTATGGAGTTGAACTACTTGATTGTACTCCAAAGTTTTGCCTGTCAGAATTTGGTTGTTGATCTTCTATCTTCTTATGCAGCCATTGTATAACTGAAAAAAATAATTTCAAACATAGTCAACACTTAAAATGTTTGTGTTCAGTTCTATTAAAAATTTAAAACAACCTATAATAAAAATTGTATGATATATATTTTACAATTATGCACATACCCATATTGTTATTTTTAATAGTTTCGTCTCTATCTTTTAATGCTTGTGCAGTACTTTCACATTTCTCTTTAAGATTTTCTAATTCATTTTTCATAGCGGTCATCCCATCTTTTGTACATTCAATTTCTGAGTTTAAGTCTTGTATTTCTTTTGTGTAACTCTCGATAACTTTCTCTTGTTCTAAAGCTATTGCTGTCCTGCATAAGAGCTATAACAAAATAAAAAAATAGTTATTACATTTTATATTTTTATATGGCAATACAAACATTAATTGCCTGTATTACCATATCAAAAATATATACTAGGATGTTTTAAGTTTATTACCTTTTCTTTTACTTCAATTAGCTCATTAGTTTGTTTTGATATAATTTGATTTGCTTTTAAAAGTTGCTCTGCTGTTGAATGGGCAGCATCATTATTTTTATTTGCCAGAGATTCACTTAATGATAATCTCTTTTCTAAGTTTTCCTGTAAAAATAGTTAAACGGCTTATAGAGTGTATTGTAAAAAAGTTGTTACAATTAAATATTAATAAATATTTTAATCTGTCATGCAACCCTTGTTCAAATATATTTTTAATAGATATTAATATAAAGTATTAGTTCTATCAATTACCTTTTCCCTTTTTGCTATTCCAACAGCTTCATGCAACTCCTTTATGTTGTCACTATTCTCTTTGTTGACCTGAAAATCAATTACATATATAAAAGTACAAGTAAAACAAAATCCAACTTAAAGACAAAAAAAAAATTAGGTACAATTTTTTATGAAAAACTAAAAAATACTACATAGTTTTTAATGAAAAGCTAAATCCAACCGTTAGCTATTTCAAATCAAATAAAAAAAAATAGCGTGAATCGGATGATAAACTACTAAATAATCAATGCACATAAAAAAAAATGAATTTAGAACCCCTTCTTTTTTTTTAATTGTTCAAAAATACTTAGTCAATATTATAAGTGGCAGAAACGACACAGGCTGGATTCTCTTGATTTATTTCCATAGCTTGAATTAAATAAGTATACACTTGTATATTAAATGGTTATATACCACATACCTTTTCTAAATAGGTACACCGTGATTGCAATTGATTTATTTGTTTATCTTTTTCAATAATTTCTCGCTCCAATGTAACATTTTTCGCTCGTAAAGTTGCAACTTCAATGTGAGTTTTTTGCACTTCATTTTCTATGAAATTAATTCGCTGATTTCTATCACTAAAATGGAAAGAAGAAATAAGATTTGACAATTGTTGAAAAAACTGTACTTTTACCACTAAGAACACTTATGATTAAAATATGGCACAACTGTTGTACGATTGTCGATTGTTTCACAGCCAACTCAACTGTTTAGTTGCAGTACTAAAGATCGGGTAGTGTGAGCACCTCCATTTTTTTTTTTTTTTATAACATAAGGTGGCAAACGAGCAAGTGGCCACCTGAAACCGCCAAAATGGCGAAGCGACCGCTGCCCATAGACATCCGCAATTGCAGATGCGTTGCCTACCCTTATACGACGGAGGAGGAGACGCACATAAAGAGGATATTCCCACTTCCTATGCATCTTCTCCACCGTTAAATCCACTTCCTCTTCCCAACCTCTCCTTATAAGAAAAGGGTGGTAAAGAGAAAGGGACTTAAATTAGGCCTCCGGCACCACACTCATTAGACGAAACACGCAATTGCTTCCATTTCACGCCTGTCTTCTGTGTGGTCGTGGTATTACACCGGGCGTGCCGGCCCATTCGTGCTTAGATGTTAAAGCGGGCACTACCACTGTCAAACTCCATATAAGCTCGTCAGATTCTGAGCAAGACTATACAATTGTGTGATAGTTTAGTTTCAAGTGTGTGCACACTCTAAAACTGAGTAGTTGTTTTTACCATTATATCTTAACAAATATTTCAATAATAAAGAGTATATAAACTCACCCCAACTGGTTCTCTAGTTGATTTATATTATCGCGAAGTTGTTTACATAGTACATTTAAATCATCAATTTGCTTATCTTTCTTGCTTAAATTTTCTTGAGAATTTGCCAATAGGGTTTTTGTATTGAGATCAGATGTTTTTTGCCATTGAACCTTTTCCTAAAAGGAATAAAGAAAATTAAAAAAATCCCTAAATATCTGGCTAGTACCTGAATGCATATAATGCAAATAGGTTATACGAAATAATGATAAAACCTAATATACAATATGAGTATATCAACATTTTAATAAAAATTAAAAAGATTTTAATTTCCAATATTTTGGGTAAAAACCTTCACGAGTTTTGTCATAACACTGGCCTAAAGTATCATTACAGTTCATTGCATTTCAGTGGTTTGGATAAATTTAACACAAAAAAGCTGCAAATTCAAATATTGCCATAATATATTTACCTGAGCTAATCTATCTTTCTCTATTTTCAGAGATTCATAAAACTCTGTCTCTCGTCGTAATTTATCTTCTTCCATCTTTGACACTGTGAGTGTTAAGTCTTGAATCTTTCCTTCCATTTTAAGTATTTTGTCATTTAACATTGCCTCAGTACCAGTTGATGAACTTTTAACTGCCGCTAAATTTTTCTAATGAAAAACAAAGCTTTAATTGTAGTTACAATGGATGTATAACTTTTTTAACTAATGTCAAAAAGAAGGATGTACCTAATTTTTTTTTCTGCGTGTACACCAATTATATATTATTAATTTAACCCTACAAGTCATTGTTGTTTATTTAATTTAATATGTGTATAAGATTCAAGTATAAAGTAATTTATTTCATACCTTTAAATTGGAGATAGTTTCAGACATATGTTGTTTTATGTCAGAATCAGTTGCCGGCCCAGTACTTAATGATAAATGAACCAATCTTTTGAATTCATTATGCTCAACAATTTCAAAGTTGTATTTGATAGGATTTAATTGGTGAATAATTAAAAACCTAGAAAAAGAAAACAGAATAAAAGTTCATGTAAAGAGAAGACTATTTAATTGAGTAATTTTTAATTACTTACATGTTATTGGAAGCACATTGTTGCAATAACCTGACTATTTGAGACGGAAAATTATCGAAGTCTATCAGAAGTCCTTGCTGTTTTTTCAAATCTTCATAATCGCATCTAGTTATACAAATTTTAAATAAGAAACATGGATCTTCGTCATCTGATAAGGTCAAAATCTGAAACAAAGACAAGCATGATCCTGATAGTTTAATTTGAAAGATTTGGTAATCAAACAAATTCAATAAAAACTTACCAAACTATCGTTCTCAAACAACTTGTCAATAGTAATAATAACATCTTTTTTACAATCTTCAAATCCACGTTTATATGTTATATAGTATTTGCCTTTATAGAAGTTCTTACAAACCATCTCCTTGTTTTAACACTATTCTGTTAACCGCTGGAAAATATTAAAATATTAAGGAATAACAGAAAAACAGGGTTTTCGTATTTTTATTTATTTTGACACCTATTTCAAAATTCAAATTGACAGATAGACATAGACAATCGCCATATCGCCAACCAAAAATCAAAGCAACATTGCGGCAGAAAGCAGTGTTGCCTTCTTACAGGTCAGTTTTACAAACAGATTGTTGAGAGTTCACTTTGGTTCACCTGTTTAAAGATTAAAGTCTCTATTGGATTAGAATTCTGCTTAATGTAGATTTTAAAACCTATCAATATCGCCTAGAATTAGTTGCTGATATCAAGATAGATTTTTGTAATAAAATATTTTTTATAAATGTCCCTTATGTTGCATGTAGATAAAAAAAACGTTTTCTTTGTATTATCTGAAATCTGAAGCGTGGGGCCAAAGGGGACAGGGGAAGGGAAAGGGAAGGAGTGAATCAGTTTGGTTGATTTTATGTGAATCATTTAATAGCAAATAGTATTTGTAAAAACGTATTTATTTTTGGTTTTCTAAATGTTAAGTGAAAATTTCTATGATAAAATGTTTTCAATAAAGTTTGTTATTCGCCATTTAGGAAACGGTCATGAGTAGTTTTTTTAAGAACATAGTTTTCGTGTGCAAGTGGAAGTGTTATTAAAAAATGCCATTCAATTTTTTTTGTTGTGTGAGGCCCGGAGTTGAAGACGTCGTGGAGTTGGATTACTCTCATCAATCCTTAACAGATGTTCCCACCGATGTGTTTGTGTATGAGAGGACACTAGAAACACTGCTCTGCCAAAGTAATCGTATCACAGAGTTACCGCGCCAGCTTTTTATGTGCCATGGTTTGAAATATTTAGATCTTAGTGATAATGAGTTACAAGCGATTCCCACAGCAATATCCTCTTTGGTAAATTTACAGCATTTAAACATCAGTAGAAACACATTGGCGTCGATACCTGACAACATGAAAGCACTGAAATATCTCATGTTCCTTGACCTCAGTGTTAACCCTCTGGAGAAACTACCAGATGCCATAACAAATCTCATAGCACTAAAAGAACTATATCTTAATGATACATATCTCGAATATCTTCCTGGAAATTTTGGAAGACTAGCTAACCTAAACATATTAGAGTTGAGAGACAATTACCTTATGATTTTACCCAAATCTCTGTCTCGTTCCACTGAACTCTTGCGATTGGATATAGGACAAAATGAGTTTCAGCAATTCCCTGAAGTTATTGGAAGATTTCTTAAGTTAAAAGAGCTGTGGATTGATAGTAACAGCTTTACAACAATACCATCTATAATTAAGCCATTAGAAAATTTGATTCACCTAGAAGCTAGCAATAATATGATTGAAGAACTTGCACCAGAAATTGGAAATTGTACACAGTTGTTAGACTTAAGTTTATCTATCAACAGCTTGACACAGTTGCCTGACAGCATTGGGCAGCTAAGTAACCTGACTTCTTTGAAGCTAGACAACAATAGGTTGTACTGTTTACCAGATAGTATAGGTCAGTTGAAGAACCTAGAGGAATTAATGCTCATGTGTAATTATTTAGATAAAATACCATCATCTATTGGACTTTTAAGAAAACTGCAATATTTAAATGTTGATGATAATATGTTGAAATCAATCCCTCCAGAAATTGGGAGTTGTACAAAGTTATCTGTGTTATCTCTACGAGCAAATAAATTGTCAAAAATCCCTCCAGAAATTGGGCATTTGTCCTCTCTAAGAGTATTGAATTTAGTGAGAAATTCTCTAAGTTGTCTTCCCCAGTCCTTATTAAATTGTGATAATTTGGTGGCTCTTTGGCTCTCTGAAAATCAAAGCAAACCTTTAGTGCCTATGCATTCTGAAGTTGATCCTCATACTTATGAACAAGTCCTAACTTGTTTTCTGTTCCCACAAGTGCCTTTAACACCTATTGAATTAAAGAATGATAATGAAAAACCTGAAAACACAGAGACACAATCAACTGTAAGACACATTAGTTTTGTTGATATGAAGGCTACTGCAAAAGTCCCAGAGAAACCTGGACAGCTGCGAAGGGCACCTACTCCTTACCCTAAAGAATTGCGAGCTATGGCTAAACATGCAAGAAATATTCATAAAGATGGAACTCAAGATGTAACACCACCTATGCAAAATGCTGTTCACATAAAAGCAGCAAAGATCACTCCAACTTTACAGCAAAGATTTGCATCAGACAACAAAAAGGAGAGCAATAATACTACAAGCATAGAAAATGGTGGAAACATTAAAGAAACATTTAAAACAGCCTCAATATATGATAATCTACCCCCGGAAAATGCTTATGACAGACCATTAGATCTTACTTATGAACAAGATAAAACATACAAAAGTGTAGATCATGCATTATATGTTGAAAACAATGGTGGTGCAAATATAGAATATGAAGCTGAAAATGGAGAACCATACACACAAAGACATTACACTGCCAAACATGATAAATATCAACATCAAGAAATAGAAAAATCAAATAATTGTAAGCAATCTAATTCATATGCAGAACACTTAGAACTAAAAAGTTACCATCAAGCAAGTGATTTAAGTTATAGAAGCAACATAGATGAAACTCAGAATCATTTTCAAAGGCTTAGTCTCAGTTCACAAGACCGACATTCAAATGAAGAAACTATTATGCCAGCTCATTACAATGAAAGTCCTTATAACTCAAGAGCTGAGAATGTTCCTAATTTTGATCCCTCATATCATAGACAAGAACATGTTATGTGCCACAATATACCAGCAAGTAATTATCATGACAATGTCTATGAACAAGACACTTATTCCTGTAACAAGGAAAAGATATACGGTCAACGAAACTATAATGCTTATGGTTATCATAGCCATGCAGGCCATGACTTGCCTCCTGGCCCCAGAGTACATACAGTAAGTCAAGTAGTCAGTTCAACAACAATGCCAAATTTGAGTAACTATAACAATGTGTATGTGCAACCAACAGCTGAAAGTCATCATTTCTCTGGACCGTTACATCAATCTACAACTCCAAATGCTAATGTTTATGGTATGACATCAAGTCCTACTTACATTCCATCTCAATCGCCCGAATTATATTCACCTACTGGTCACACAAATGCAACAAATCCATACAGAATGACAAACACTCCCTTAGTAACGGATGATGGTAGCTTCAGTCATGTCCAATCTCCAACGAGCCAGAATGCATATGATTTGTATGATGCAGGACCAGCTACTCATTCTCCTAATGTGGTAAGCCATCGTCATAGTCCAAGCGGAGTAACGGAGAGTATGTATATGAGGGGAAAACCTCCTCCATATCACATTGCGGCGCCTTACACCAAACATGCTCAGTACTTTAACGGAACGGGTGGATAGTGTTTGCATTTTGCAGAGAACTGCAGACACTGTATGTGTGAACAATGTTTGTGTAAATATTGTCTGTGTGAATTAAACTACTATCATCACTAACTATTTATTTATCTATGAAATAGTTCTTTTTTTATATATTTATAACTGTAACTATTTTCTGGATGTGCAATTTAAATGTGATATGTATTATGTAATGTTTAAATAATCTATATTTAAGGTGCTAAGAAGAGGATTATGCAGGAACATTTTTATAAAGGATACCTTTTTGAGAATGGTTAACAAAGAAATAAAAAGGATTATATTTTAAATTGTTTAGTAGGTACTGTTATAGTACAAATGTAACAACTATGTTGTTTCATATTGATGTTCACAAGTAGTTTCTTGTATGTTAAAATTCTAATTACTAACAATAATCTGAAAATATTATGTAAAAATGTATAGATATGTGATAAGTATAAAAGATTAATGTTAAAAAATGAGTAGCAAAACATTATATGATTGAAAATGTAGTTATAGTTAATGTTTTTACCAAATTATTATTAAATTGAAAAACAAATACACACTTTAGCTAGTTGATTCAATCAAATGTTAAGTACTATAAGAAAAAATGCACTGTTTGGGCTCCCTGCGTACATCCCTTAAAAATAATTGGCAAATTAATGAATTAATAAATAAATTATTTTAATGTAATTTTGTCAGATTGTGGTTACTGGTTTAAATTGTACAATTTGTGTAGCTCTCTATTAGATTACATAGACGTAAAATTAGTATGTTAACATACATAATAATTCACTTATAGTAAAATCTATAAACCTTAGTTGTATGCCAAGATAATAAAACTAACAGTTATCTGGATGGAACTACATGTTAACTTTATAGAAACAAATTTTAACAAAAGCGATGTAATTTATAATTAATTTTATAATATTTATATTTTCAAACCGAATTTAAACTTGATTTTTTTATGTAACAGAGGCATGTAGATTTTTTGTCTTCATTGTACAATCTAGGAAATTTACGGTGTTCTACATTAACTGCTAAGAGGTCTTGAAAAACTGGTCCTTTTATAAATAATCTATTAAGTAGTAGTTAAAAGTAAAGACACCAGTCTATTACTGTGCAAGGAACAAGGTACTGAAGTCATACACAACGGATTTCCGCGACTGTACATCAATTTCATTTAAATGCATGAGGAATAGAAGGGACTGACAGGACTGTGCCAAATGGAAACTTCCGAATAGTACACTTCAAATTTATTTTTATAAAAAAAGGTTAATTATTGTTTGAACAATATTGGATGTTTTAAAAGATAAATAACACTCTAATTTTTATTATTTAAAGTTCGTTGTTAAGTGTGATGCAAATGTTTTGTAACTAATAAACCGCAAGCGAAGGCGACTGTCCATGTACGACAAAAATTGTAAGCACCCTGTGTACTAGTTCTTAATCTTTTTTCTGCTGCTCTTAGCATGTTTTTGTATTCAATTATTATAGACAAAATCTATGGAAGTCTGAAATAACAATGTATTTTGTATTTTTTTTATTCTGGCTTTGTCTTCAAGTTCCTCGTTTGTGTGCTATAATTATTTATATGAGATCATTACGAAACAGCCATTTACATTTAAATTGATCTATACGTGAGTTCACATTGCCGAAACATTTATACAAAACATTTACTGATCTCAAGTTTTTCTGAAACGGAAAGAGGGATAGGAACAATGTTATGTGATTGTTTTCGACTATGTGAGCTCGCTTAGAAAATTTATATCATTAACCTTCATATGTATTTAAATTATATTACTATTGTGTTAATACAATGCATTGAATGCAAATGAGACTAAGAAATAAAATAGTATTATAATGTAATAATGAATTCTTTGTTATTACAATACAACATTGAAGTGTCAACTTCAAATAAATTTTTATTTTTTTAACATTTTTAAACTATTATCATTCCTTTTAGTTATGAGATGATAATTACATTTTTAAGGATATATATTTCATATTATCCTATAGTTTATATGTGTTACTTAAAAATGTATTAAAACCGCAGAAATATAAAACCTATAAAAACAAATTAACTTTGTTATAAGAAATTTAGATATGTATATAAAAATGTACTTGGGATAAAGTTGCTATATAAATGATTTAGGAAGATTTTTTTATTAAATAGAAAAAATAAATGGTACTGTAATTTTAAATATTTGCACAAAATGTTTAATCGTTTTTCAAATTGATGTTTATAATATTTACTAATACTACAATATACTGCTTTTTTACTGGTTAATTTTTACGCAAATATTTATCTGTGATGCACTATTAAGGTTTATAAGTATTTTTCAATCTCTGACTTAAAAACTGATTCAATTTGTATGCATGTTTTAATTTAACTTGTTAATAATTGACGCTCAATAACTTTTGTATCTAACATAACGCTCGCTTAAGTACTTATTAGTTGACTATGTCTGTAATTTCAATGTTCTAGTCAAAGTTTCGACGGATGCCATGTAAGCAAGAGATTTATTATACAGGGACCATTTCAATCGTAAGCGCTTAACTGTTATCATTCAGATACATGGCGATCAGACACGTCACGTCAAAAGATTCATTCACTAAATACGCACCGGGTGCTCTTAAACTCATGGTTCTTAAAAAACCTAATAATTTTTCATCTATATTTTGTAACGGTTGATCTATTCACGTCACGCTACATTGACGTAGCTGATCGACGGTGACATGACTGGTGTATATGGACCCCCACTTATATGATGTTATGATTGTCATCGCTCATTAATACTGACTGGCACAGCCACAGTAGGGCCACGCTTTACTCCTTGTCTCCAACTCCATCGTCGTCGCATGGTCGACGCAACGAGTGCCAGATTAATCTAATGAGCGATGACCTTAAAGATAGCTGATAATTGAAAAGGCCAACTTCACATATGTCTGGCTAGAACTATTTGTTGAACTTTTGTAAACATTTATCCATTGTAACTTAGATATGACTACAGTTAACCTTATAAATAAGTCGTTTACAACATGATATATCTCTAAAATAATGAGGTATATACAGATTAAAAAATTAACTAATTGTAACTCCACAATATGCATACGTAAGTAATCTTAGTAACCACTGTAGTTTGTACATGTAAATAATTCTTTTATTTTCTTTAAGAATAATTATTTTTATTATACTTAAATTTGCCAGAAATTGAATACATTTCGTTGCTATAAAGTAATACAATTAATAATTCTATTTATCTCTAATTATAATACAAAAATACCAAAACGCTACATTTAATGAAGACTGACGCCTAATAAAACATATCATTTGAGTATTTTCTTGTCATTAAAGCTTACAAGTTTTAATATAATTAACATCTATTTTTATATCAATCTATCTATTTATTTCAATATAATAAATTTGCGGTTTTCGCGTTTCGTTTTTAATACTGGTATTTCTGAATCATTACAGGGTCCGTTATCTCAGTAATTAAGTAAATTGATGTAAGATATTTATCAAATGCGTTTGTTTCTAGTTCATTCATTTGTTCTAAACATTTCAATTATCGGTATCTTATCTCGTTCCGTATTTCAATTATGATGAAAGCAAATACTTATGTTGTGGTCGCAACCTTTGTTGGCTGTGATGACGAATGACATATACTCTTCACTCATTGTAGCATTCTAATGCGTACGTTTTTTAAATAATATTTCAACTGAAATATTTCTTTACCAATTATTCGTCTCATTATCAAGTTGTGTACAAAAACTGTTTGGAAAATATGTATCGTGCCATAAGTTTTGTTCAAAGAGATATTTTTAATGTGCATTTTTTCACAAATGTTTTAATAGACAAATAAAATCATTTGGAATATTAATTAATGTAGAATAAAATTGGCAGCTATTTGTTTCGTGTATACTAATTTATGTATGAATGGTTTTTATCTTTGTAATTAAAAATAACATGTACATACACATTACGGAGTAGAGATGTAGTAAATTTTAAGATGTTTCATTATCACAATATGGCAGAAGGCCTAAGAATATTGTAGACAGGACAAAACCTTACATTCAGTATTGATTTTTATTTATTTCTTAAGGAAGGTCTCAAATTTCTTTTTTCATGTGCGTGAGAATACATTTTATCATTTTTAAGTTTATGTAAAGCTTTAATCTTCATGTATATTTTTGTAATCTTTTTATGTCTTTTGCAGTCTCAATATTGATTTTAATAACTAAATAATTCCTAATTTATAAATCTACTTTTCGTTAGGTTAAATTTATAGTTATAAATATTATTCGAGTATTTTGTGGGCAATTTTATGTTATGCTTTTAATTTATGTTATTGTAAAATTGGGAAATTTGATATGTACACTGTCAACATGCAATGATCAAGTAGGATTGCAATAAAGTTATTGAAATCCAATTAATACTTTTTTTTTACAACTTCCATATCCCAAATCACAATGATATCTTCTTATTCCCTTCTCTCCTTATTATAAATTTTTTGCCTACCCTACATAATTTATCGTATTGTTACTGATAAAGCTGCTTTGTTTGATTTCTGTTCATTTCCAAATGAAAGTCAAGCATACGACGATTTTAAAAAATGTCACATGGGTGGACCGTCCTTCGAAAAACATGAGACCCCTGAGGTGTGGATTACTTTCATGGGTCGTGATCTGCCTCGTGTGTCTCGATTCGAAACGTGTGGAAAGGCAAGTAATAATGTTCGACAAGAAGCTAATAGTGCACTCCAATCTGACAGTTCAAATATTACAGCCAGTTTACATATTTCCGTTATCATGAGGTTATAGAGATATCAGTGAAACTGTGGTTCTAAGTTGTGATAATATAATAGTACCTAACTATACGATAACGTATGGTTTTTCTAGTAAATAGGTCCGTTGAATTTGGGTCAAAATAACAGGAATGAAATGGTTATAATGACTGCTATTCCATTTATCTCACTACCGTTTCAAGATGTGAGAGTATTCAAATCATAAACTAAAAATAATTTATTGTCCTGTTTCAATTTAGTACTTCGTATCAAACGTATTGAAGACAAAGATATGATATTCCGCTATACATTTTTTTAATAAAATAGGTCAGCCGTAGCGGAAATTAGTTCACCAGTTTTAGGTCAGTACACAGCCAATGGCTGTACCTGTTATCGCGCAAGCAACAGGTTGGAATTGCTTTCATATTTGAAATGCGTACAGAAATCATTTATCTAAAATATTTATATTGAATCATAAATATTCATCGATTATATTTATTATAGTTATTAATACAAAGTTAAGAAGTTTGAAACGAAGGACGAAATCTAAAAAACTAGTTCCTTTTTCAAATTTTTAGTCCTGATTAACTCGTAGGTATATTGTGTCTTAACGTCCTTTATTGAGTTCCAGAAACATTTAATTTTATCTCCATTATGCATTTCCTACAAACCAAATAATATAATACGCCCGTATAAATAATCGATACATTGCGCGCGCAGATCAGTCCATATCTATGCCCACTCAAAGACTTGAAACTGAACAACTGAAAACATCGTCAGCTGGTTGAAATAAAAAGGTACGTGGTAGTTTTAATATTTTCTAATTAATACTACAAAACGATACGTAATTAAAGGTTACATGTAATGAATTATAAAGTTTTAAACTCACGAATTTGTATTTTAGACCTTTGGAAACAACTCTATTGAAATACCCTTTGACCTTTTACGTTTTTAAGACTAAGTGACCCTACAATTTTATTTGGTATAAGCTTTTGTTTTAGCTTCGTGAGCTATTAATAAAAGTGTACATGAATCGGTTAATCAGATGACAATGTATTTCCCAGCAGCCCACACAATGTAACGATTATATTCATTCGTACATATGTTCAAGTATATTGTCTCTATTATACACTCCTCATTGAAACTGGTAATAGTATAGAATTAAAATCTTCTAAAAAATAAAAAACCTTCCAACATTTTCGAGCTATTGCGGTACGATCTTACAGAATACATTTCTTGAATTTTCACGTACTCCTTTTATTTAAAAAAAAAATTCGGTATATAGTTAACAATCATTCACTCAGTATTGTATTATTTGCATACTAAATATCTTGTATTTTTAAAACATATATTTTCACAAAAGTCTCTTTGCAGGTTACAATTTTGCCCTCTACAATAAAGTGCAAGCAAAATGCCGGGGGCAAGGCACAAAATATTGGGGCACGTGCTATCAGGATTTTGTCATAAAATGAATCGACGTAAATCACTTCATGGAGATTCATTGGACACACCGTTGAATCGTTGTCTCACTACTGTCGATATTACTTTATTAGGTAAGAAACTAAACTTCTTTCAAACGTTATAGTAAAGGAATATGATTATAAAACAAATGAAATCTAATTTCAGGGGTGGGACACATGGTCGGTGCTGGTATTTATGTGTTAACGGGAACAGTGGCACGGCACATGGCGGGTCCAGCGACAGCCCTGAGTTTCTTATTCGCTGGCATCACGTCGACACTCGCGGCTCTGTGCTACGCTGAATTCGGCACCAGAATACCCCGCGCTGGAAGTGCTTACGCATACACTTACGTCAGCATTGGAGAGTTTTGGGCATTTATAATAGGATGGAACATTGTCCTGGAATATATGATAGGTAAGATTTTCTTAATATCTCCTCTACCTTATCACATAAATTTCGTCAGTTAAGCAGTGAATTTACTCACCCTTTCATTCCTTTATTTTCATTCTAAGTACTCAAAGATTCGGCACAATTTTTTTGCGAATGTTAATTACCAATTATTTTGTTCTAGGTGCTGCTTCGGTAGCCAGAGCATGGTCAGGATATTTGGATGAAATGGTAGGCGGAGCTATAAGCAACGCCACAATTTCAGTGACAGGAGAATTGCATGAAACCCTTCTCAGTCGATACCCTGATGTTTTAGCTTTCGTGATCTGTATAGTTGCATCACTTATATTAGCAGTTGGTGTTAAAACTTCAGCTTATATAAACAATGGTCTTACGATCTTGAATCTTCTTGTGATAACACTGGTCATATTCCTCGGTTTTTACTATGCCGACATCACTAATTGGTCTGAGAAAAATGGTGGTTTTATGCCGTACGGCTTCAGTGGTGTATTAGCTGGTGCTGCAACTTGCTTTTATGCATTCGTCGGTTTCGATAGTATATCTGCTTCCAGTGAAGAAGCAAAGGATCCATCTCGATCGATTCCGATTGCTACCATTATGTCGATGGGTTTGGTTGCGGTGGGATATATTCTTGTTGCCATAGCTTTGACTCTTATGGTTCCTTATCAAACTATAAACCCTGACGCCGCTCTTCCGGCCGCGCTAGGGGCTGTTCACGCCGAGTGGGCTAAGTATGCGGTGGCAGTTGGAGCCGTGTGTGGGATGACGACTACATTGCTAGGATCGTTGTTTTCTTTGCCTCGTTGTTTGTACGCCATGTCTGTTGACGGATTGTTGTTTGGTTTCCTCAGCGATATGAGTAACAATAAGTCTCAAATTCCGATATGTAATCTCATTATATCTGGATTTTCTTCAGCGCTAATAGCTTTGTTGTTCGATTTGGAGAAATTGGTCGAGTTTATGTCGATAGGCACTTTATTAGCGTACACTATCGTAAGTGCTGCAGTCATTATACTCCGATACCGTCCAACTCCGACGATAGAGGATAAAAGTTTTTGCACGCCGCAATTAGACTCTCCATGCGATCGTGAGGACAGTTCTGCTACTGGCACTCCTGGAACTGATAATGGATCTTCTTCTTCTGAGGTAATTGTGTATATTTTAATTCTTTAAAATTATTATTTTTATTTATTACATTTTGTTTGTACCGTAGGTCTTAACGGATATTGATGTGCGTTTCGTTCAATTCGAATTCTTCCTCGGTGTATGACAAAGTTTATGTAATGGGCTTTTGTTTTTCTAATTAGTTGTATGTGTTTAGATGTTCGAGGCGCTGACGGTGGGGCGGCTGCGTGCGCAGTACGCGTGGCTGGAGCCGCTGGCCGGCGGGCGCGCGCCGGGCAGCGCGGTCACCGCCTGCGTCTATGTCTTCACGATTGCTGCCGCCGCGCTCTGCGTCCACAATCACTTCCTGGCCGAACCCGCAGGACTGTGGGCGATACTACCTGATGCTGTACTTATCTGCATTATTATTGCCTGTACGTACGGAAACAATAATAATTCGTTGCATGATATTAGAAGTTTTAATAAGCGAAATATCATTCATATTATTAATAATTACAGGTCTGGTGGTGATCTGGGCGCACCAGCAGAGCCCGGCGCGGCTGCCGTTCCGCGTGCCCTGGGTGCCTCTGCTGCCAGCCGCCAGCGTGCTGCTCAACGTCGAGCTCATGGTTAACCTAAAGGGCCTAACCTGGGCTAGATTCGCTATTTGGATGACTTTCGGTAAGCTGTTTGTGAATTTGTTTTTTTATTTGTATTTGCAACTTTTTACGTATAAAATAAGAGAGCAATTGTCAAATGCTATTTATTACTTTCTAAATTGTTCTCGGGCGTTTAATAGAGTAAATACGTGTGTTGCAGGTCTTCTCCTGTACTTCCTGTACGGCATCCACCACAGCAAGCTGGGCGAGGGCGTGGGGCTGCTGTCGCGGTCTGGCAGCGGGAGCGGGGGCGGCGCGCGCGGCTGGGGCGCAGTCGACAAGACCAGTGCCATCGCGCGCCGCGTCGGCCGTCTCGCGCGCGGCTCCAAAGGCGACGACCGTAAGCCCATCATTTGCGACGACGAACTCGCCAGACGGGATCCGTGATTTTAAATTACATCGCCGTGATACGGTCAATTTTGCACCAGTTATACATATACGGTGTCTGTGTGCAGGAGTTATATGTGACAAATTATCACTAAATCAATTCGAGATGAGCGCCTAAATCTTGTAAACATGCTAACGTCAAATTACATATATACTGGTCAGTCACTAAACAATTTCATGCTTATATTAGTAATATAATTTTGTGGAATTATCAGGTAAAATCCCTGCTTTTGGGAAACATTGTTTACAATATTTAGGTTTTCATTTGAAAGAAGAACTATTTATTGAGTCTTACGTACAGTTTGCCGCTGCCACCTCTCGGGCGCACAAAATAAGCTAACGGTCAACGGTTTATGTAAATTAACAATTATTTATTGCATGTTTGATGAAGATACTATTTGTTATGAAGTTATAATTTATTTCTGACACATTTATTGATGTTAATTGTTTAAAAATGTTTATGAAATTTCTATATTTAATAGGTGTATTAATTTTATATGTTAAATGTAACACATATATTATTAAGAATCTTTCAAATTTACTGCCAATAGTATTACAAAAGATTTCATTTATAAATCCCTTTAGTTACAATTCCTATCTAAACTCTACTAAGGTTCTAAAGGATATTATCTGCCAAATATTTTTTTTTCATTTTTTTATAGTATTTCTAGCCAATGTACTCTATTATTTTCAAAATAGAAATGTGTTCAAATAAGAATAAAAATATAGTTGTTAAATGCACAAATATTTACCAGCACAAATTATTATTGTTGGTGTTATAGCTTTTACTAGTTTTAAGCTTTTTGCAGTAAAGTAATAGTCCAAACTTACTCGGTAGATGGCGCACTGAGTGAACAATTCGAAGTAGGGCTAGCACGAAAATTTGGGAGAAAATATTGTAACATCGTCGACAAATATTGTATTTAGATATGTACAGCGTCCATATCAGGAACATAGTCCATCGATAAATCGAAATTTCTCGCAGATATTCGTGCTATGTTCTCTGTGTTTTGCCACATTGCTATTGTACCTTATAATTGTGCTTTTGTGTATTTAAGAAAAGATGTAACCAAAATTCACATAAATGTATATACTAATTAGTATAGCTTTTTGAAGCTTTAGTAGAATTATTGTTTTAGATATGCATATACTTGTAATATAACAATTATCGATGTAGTCGTGTTAAGTTGGTACGACGTATTTTATCTCGCTTATACTCTTTCAACAAAGTGAGATACCAATACCAGCGAGGAAAGTAGAAACTCACGTTTATATAAGTATGACATATAAAAACTCATAAATTTTTCCGTGACAATTATTGATGTTATTTATATAAAAAAGATTTTTATTAGGTTATGAGAAAAATATTGCTTCAATTATGGTGTAAAAAAACAATCGTTAATTTTAATCACCTTTATTAGTTTAATTCCATAACTTACATTTTTCTATAGCATCTAAGTATTTTTTGTCACAGACAATATGAAATTCTAAACAAAACCTTCACAAGGCCTTGAATACTTAATTAAATCAAATAACTATTGTAATGAGAAATACTGATTTATTTACTTTTGGTATTTATCAACACAACACAAATTCACATAAAAATATAATAAAACATAGGAAACTATTGTTTAATAACAGTGAATTTTCACTGCAATACAACGGTTTTACAGATTTTTGAGCAGTGAAAACTCACCTTAATGTACATGCATTATTTACTTTTTGCATTAAGTAATATCTTAATTCCCTGTTGTTTTAAAAATGTTATCAATTTTCTCCAATAAATATAATTGAGCGTTTTCAAATATTCTATACATATTAAATATTTGACGCGGAATGTCTAAAATAACTTAAAAACGAAAATACCTATAAACATAGTCTAACTGGGAATATAAAAACCCCGGCAGGGGAGAGCTTCAATCGGATTTATTACATTACTTTTAATATAAAAAATTAGCTCCATTGTTACCGCAAATGCCGAAGGTTTTTATATTTCTGGTCAAGCTTATATTAAATCTAGTGTATATTTAAATGTTGATGTGTATATAAGCAAATATAAATAAAAACCCAAAGCATTATTTAATTCAATTCCTTAAAGATATTCAATAAATAAACACCAACGGAAGTAAAGGATTTTGTACTATTTGTAATTAAGAGTACATAAACACGTCAAAGGAAACATCATTTTATGACTGTACTCTATATACATATCACAATCAAACGATTTAAATTATACTAAATAACTAAAAGTCATAGTCATACTAGTCTATAAAATGTCAAGGATATATAACCCCGTGGGCATTAAGGAAACTAAAATATGACAGCTCACGCCACTCCTTTTGACCGACTTCCTAAAAGAAGGGGGTACTCAAGTTGTCTGTATGTTTTTTTTACAATTATTAATTGACACCATTTCGTTGATTTTGCCAAATTTAAGGTTGAAGATAATTGAAAAATGTACAGTACAAGATTAATATTAAATACCACATGGCAAGATACATAAAGGATTGCAATATGCTTTTATAAATTAAAGGTTCAAAAGTACAAACGGACAATGTATTAAAAGTTTTACAAGTTCTATGTTCCTCTTTACAGGTCTACTCATTACTCTTTTATTATTTTTTATGTAGATTTTACATATTTTCTGACAGAACTCACCGCGATAGCTACTCTCACCGGATTAGATATCCTTGTTTGACTATATTTAAATAATTGTGCTAAAGCGCTGGTAAACCTTGAAACTAGTTAAATTTACTTTTCACTCAATATGTCAATCTCATAATCACTCAAATATGTATTATTTAAATTGAATACGTTATGGTAATGACCGAATACTGAAACGTAATAAAATATGTAACAGGGTCTCAAATGATAAAACCATATTTGAACTCCAATTGCGTTAACATTGATGTCTGTCGGATTGCAAGCGGCACTTTCTTTTTAAATTTGTTTCAGTAACTGGCCTTTAGACAGTTTTATTATCTAGTGTTGTATGTTTTGCAGTGAGATTGTGTCATAACAGCGAATAGAATTCAAACTATTGTACATTGCAGTGGTTGTCAACCTGGGGGTCACCGACCCCTTGTTAGGTTAGGTCTCTTTAATAATATTAAAATTTGATTTTTTTCTTGTATATCAAGAGTTTATTATCTATTAGACAGATTAATGTCACTTATTATTCTTCGTTTGTGGACGCGATACTACTCAGGGCAGGGGTAGCGAACCTTTATGCATCAGTGTCATTTTTAAAGAAATGTTTAATGCGGTCTTAGACATATCGAATCATTTTCATCAATTCCATGGAGCACCTATTTTATACTTTTTGACCGACTTCTAGAAGTAGATCAATGCGTCTGTATATATTTTTTATGTGTTACGAGGTAACTCCGGCCCTGATGGATTGATTTTAAATTTTTTTCGTAGTGTTTTCATATCAACGATGTGCCCAAAGTATCGTGTCCTGTGGCAATGGTTCGTCACCCCTGACTTAGGTCGGTGTGAAGTGGGAGGTTTAGAAGCAGGGGGTGGTGTCAGTCCTACCTGAGGCGGGCGATCTGCCAGGCGGCGGCGGGCAGGCGCTGCAGCCGGCAGATGGTGGCGCGCCCCCACTGCAGCCAGAGGAAGCCCGCCGCCACGCACAACACCGTCTCTATGTAAAACCCGTCGATACTCACAACACAGGAGCCGCCGCTGGCTTTACATTCCTACAAACAAGAATATACAGCCATAATTCCCAAGAGTGTTTTCTTCATTTAAAATTATATATTTTTTTACAGATTTTTAAATCTAAAAAAAATATTATTTTTTAAACATATGAGCAAATACGAAATATAAAATTATAAACACATTAAAACTTTCTTATTAATATTATTGTTTAAAATGTGTAAAACATTTTAAATACTTAGGTATTTAAAATGTTTTACACAATTTAGATAAGTAAATAATAATAAATAAATAAACTACCAAAATACCAAAGCTACCAACAATAGTAGAAAACAGAAAAAATACAATTGTGTGCCGGCTGTGGCAACACCACGCTTCCGGGCGACACTCGCACAGCGACAAACATCAAAAAAAAGAAGCAAAAATTGCGGACGGCCCTCCGCATTAAATCCGAAACGTCTTAATACGTATACGTCCCCCTTCTACCAATTTAATCCAAAGTTCATCCTAAGCAACATAATTAACAACAATTATAAATGCGATAGGTTAAATGTATGGATGCATGTTTGTTACTATCATCATCTCCCCTACCTTATCTTACTTTTTAATTCGTTACAGAAGTTCCGGGGCCAGCTAATAATTACATAATCATAGTCAAATGTAACAGTTAATTAAATCCACTTACATCTACTTCTAAAGCGGACGAGCATGTATTATCAGCGAGTGCAGGCGAGCATGTCTTGAACGTCAAATGGTCGATGGCCCACAGCGCGAGAGTATTGGGCCAGTTGGTGCCCAGGTTGGACACCGTGTTCAGTAGTGTCATGTATGTGCCGCCCACAGCGGGGTCCGATACTTTAGCGAAAAACGCCATTACTGCTACAAACATACAGTACAGGCACGTCTGGAAACAAAGAAAAACATGTTAAATATCTCTTTGACAGTATCTAAAGTGACATTATTTTGTACAAGTGTATCCGCATATAAGTGTAAGAGTTTACAAGTGTACCGGGGTACAAATGCGGTGTACACATGTGTAAATGTACTAGTTTTCAAATATACCCATGTAAAAATGTACTGATTTACAAAAATACCCATGTACAAATGTACTAGTTTACAAATGTACCTGGGTACTAAAGTACAATTGTCCAGGTGTACCAGTGTTCAAGTGTAACAGTGCAAAAGTGTACAAGTGTACTCACCTGGTGGAATATATAAAGACTCAATAGTATGAATAGATATAAGTAAGAAGGCCCGGCGTTGCCCAACAAGCTGGGCGTGACGGCCACCAGCGCCGCGGCCAGCGGACCCACCAGCAACCGCAGTGGGAACGCCCGCAACCACAAAGACAGTGGCGCAGGTCCTGTTGTGTATTTTGATAGAATCTGCAATCAAACAATATATGCTACTTATGTATGTCTAATTTTATTTTTTAACACATTCCATGTCTCTGAGATTTTATTCGGAAGGTCTTATCTTCTTTTATTACAAAGGTATCTTGGGTACAGCTTAATGGACTCAATGAACTTTGACACATGTAGAACATAGTCTGGAAGAATACATAGGTCACTCACTATTGTTTAAATTCTATAAACACAGTTTAATACTGACCACAGGCATAATAATCTGCACGGGGACTAGAGGCACGGCGAGCAGTGCGAGGTCTTCGCGCGGCACGCCCGCCTCCACCAGTTTCAGCCCCGACACCGCGTCACTCGCACAGAAACCTAACTGAAAATTAAATCCAATAATTGAAGTGAGACCACTTCGTGTGTTTTGTCCACTGTATATGTACAGTACAGACTATCAAATAGATTTGTTGAAAACTCACTTTAGTAGTAGAATAGCAACACAATATTAAAATGACAAAAACACTTCACTTCATAAACAACACTTACAATCTGATAGATTTTAAAGTTTTAATGTACTTCGGAGTTTAAATGCGGCCTTATCAATTAAGATGCTTTTACATATTACTTGTTTCAGTGGCCAGCCAATAGACATTTAAACATGGGAATTTAAATATTAATAAATCAAGAAATTATCTCACCTTCGCTGTAAATAGAACTAAAGCAAGTGTCCTAACTGCTGGCAGTTTTACAATAGTTATTAACTGCTTGTATGCATTCACAATGTCCTTTATTCCCTTTACTTGACTCTCTTGTGGGTTATTTATTGTGTCGTTTGTTTCATGTTTAAATAGAGCCACAATAGTTGTAGTGATAATAAATACCCAGCCCCAAAATAAAAGGAAACTAGATAATGTAACAAGACCAGTATCTTCTGGGATAGTTCTTAGATATTTATTACAAAAGTATGGAGATTCAAGAGCTAAGAATAAAACATAACCGAGAAAGAAGCCAGCTGTTTGACCAACGGTATTACATGTTGATGCATGTCCAACATTGCATCTGAAAATAAATTATTAAAAATATCAACTTAAATTACTTTTTACATTTTCTGTTGTCCAAGAGTTAGAGCAAATTATATTTATTACTTGTTATTTTGCTCGTATCAGAAGATGTACATAAAAGACACCAATTAAAAAACATTTACAGTGATACTGCAAAATTTATAGTCTGATTTGTTATTGTATAATTTATTTTAATGTAAGAATTTAGTACCTTTTCAACATAGTGAGTGCCCAGCCATCTACAGCAATATCCTGTGTTGCAGCTAAGAAGTTTAGAAACAAGAAAGATATAGTTAATATCATCATAGAGGGAGCTTGGTCTTCAGACCCCAACCAATCGGTGATACTGCTCGACATGATAATCATGACAATGCCAATTAGATATTGTACTGGCACTAGCCATGTCTTACGTCTACCAAATTCAGGCCAAAATAATGCATCTACTATTGGAGCCCAGAGTAACTTTACACTAAATGGCCAATTAACAAAGCTGAATTCCGCCTGAAAAATAAAATACATTTATTAAATAAATTATTGTTAAAACTTCAAATTACTTTTAGTTAATTATTTACTTGTTGTGTGTAAGTGATTCCTCTATTTTGAAGTAACATAGGAATAGCACCAGCTAATCCCAAGGGTATTCCTTGGAGGGTGTAAAGAAATAATAAAACAGCTATATTAATTTCATCTCCTTTTATATTACTATGTCCCCCGCTGAAATGTACGTCGCCGTTCTCAATTAATTCTTCCTTTTCAACTGAACGTTTGCGTTTTGTTACTGACATTATGAAGGTGTACAGTGCCTGTAAATATTTTTAAAATATTTTAAAGTCTCCACGCCAACCCAAATAATACACGTCAGTAAATTATTTGCTGTATAACATTAGTTTTCCTCGGCACCTTAATTTTCACTTTTTATGAGTCAACTTCTTCAAAGAAAATTAATGTCTTTAGGCATAAAAAGTTAATTATGTTTTTCGCACGACATTCCTCATTTATATGTTTAAATTTTGTTCATAAAATATATTAAATTCTTATTTAATAGTTGCGCAAAAACCACAGCACAGCACACGACGACAGAAACAAATTGGCAGATGTCAATGTCAGAATTCAACGTTTCTACATTTTCCATATTGACTTTTACTTGATATTACTCTTTTAAATCGGTTATGATGAGATTTTGGCTGTTAACATTTATTGAAAATACATTTAAATCTTATTTCACTAAAGCAATAATTACTGTAGCCTTTTTAAAGTTATTTAACCGTGAAATTATGAATTAAATCATCATGTTAGCCAAGTAAAAATTATGAATTGGAACAACTTTAAAATGTCACTTTGACTGATTGATTTTATCTTTTTGACAATTTAAAAATTCTGATATTATGGTGTGGTTTCCTTAATATTTCGGCAATTTTATAAAACTGTGATACTACTAATAACTTAAAAACCTAAATATTTTAACTTCATACTACTTTTTCTCAGTTCATCTCTAGATTTTCGGTCTCAACATCTAAAATTTTGAACATGTTAGAATGACTCGTTTGTGTTTTCTTAGATGTTTACTTGATTCGCATGCTCCTATTAATTTACCGCATAACGTTGAAATACTTGTAGGGCGTAGTAAACTCACAAAAATTAAAGACCAATCTTGTTCACGTCACCAACGTAAGTTCAACTTTCCTTTATCTAGATAGAATGATTACATAAAAAAATAACTAAATACTCCTTTATTTTCCAGTAAGCCTCAAAGCTAATTGTGATGACTGCATCGTTGAGGTTAAGCAAATCGGAATAAACCCATCTGGCTTAGATGGTTTTTCTTTAAAACAAAATTGCTTGTACAAAGTTGGCCATGAAAGTAGAATTGAAATTTTATTAAACAATCATATTCATTTAATAGAATTCCAACCGCCACCTGATAATTTTAGTCCAATTAAAAGAAATAAGAGAAAAATAGAGGATGAGGAGATTACTGTAAAAAAGAAAAAATGTAGTAAAACACCTGATAAAGAGAGTGTTTTAAGCATAAAAGAAGCCATGGAGGATACATGGGAGTCTGTTGATGAAGGTGAATTGTACATTTATACAGCAAAAGGTGTAAAATCCAGTAAGAAAATAGCTGCATTTGATATGGATGGCACTTTGATTAAAACTAAATCAGGGAAAGTACATCCTGTTGATACAAATGACTGGCAGCTAGCATTTCCTATTGTTCCAACAAAACTAAAAGAAAAACTAGACATTGGTTACAAAGTTGTAATTCTAAGCAATCAAGCTCCAATAGGAAAAGGCAGAGTAAAGATTGAGGATTTTAAGAAAAAAATTGAAAACTTAGTCATTAAAATAAACATTCCTATACAAGTATTTATTGCGACTGGTAGAGGATTTTATCGGAAACCAACACCAGGAATGTGGCAAACACTCATTGAAAAGGTTTGTCTAAATTTTATTTGAAGTGTGAAGTTTTTTTTTGGTCGCAACCTTTTCTGCGTGAAATTAAGAATATTAAAAAATATAGTCTATGTTACTCATAGATAAACTACCTTTCTAACGGTGAAAGAATTTTTTAAATTGGCCCAGAAGTTTTTAAAGTGAATCAAATGCATACCAAAATTCAAAAATACAAATCTTCCCACTTTATAATATAGATTAGGAATATTGTCATTTTTCTCATATAAAAATCTTCAAATATCTTGTATTACAGAAAAATGATGGCTTATCAGTAGATATGGACTCCTGTTTCTATTGTGGGGATGCAGCAGGAAGAGTGGCGAATTGGGCGCCGGGTAAAAAGAAAGATCACTCTATGGCAGATAAGTTGTTAGCGGAAAATCTTGGACTCAAATTTTATACTCCGGAACAATTCTTCCTCGGACATTCAGTAGCTAATGTACAGATGGCCAAGCCAGAGTTTATACCCAATGAAGTTGTTACAGAACCCTTTAATGATAACCTTATTAGTGATGATAAAGAGGTGAGTTTTTGTGTAACTTTCAGGGCCATTACCTATTCTTTGTTTAAAACAAACTTTTGTTTGTGCCAGTCATATTGGATGTGTTAAAAATACTTTTTATAGCTTTTAAGTTCTTCGCTATAATTTGAAATGTATCATTTTTAAAATTAATTTTAATAGAATAATGTTTTGTTCTGACAATACATGTAGAGAGTTGCATAATTTAAATTTAAAAAGTCTATGGTTAGCAAAGAAACAATTATCTATTAAAAGGTAATGTGAAATTAATTTTACACAATATAATTTCATTGTTTTGTTTACAGATTCTTGTATTAGTAGGATATCCCGGGAGTGGAAAATCTTTCCTTGCAAAGCAAATAGAAAAGAAGTCATCAAATCAATATGCAGCGGTATGCAGAGATGTGCTGGGATCTTGGCAGAAATGTGCTGCTGAAGCAAGCAGGTTGTTGCAGGTATATTAATTTTTTACTAATTTAATACAAGCAGAACCAAACATACCTAAGTATAAGTCTATATTACTATTATTATAAATGCGCAAGTTAAGATGGATGGAATTTCTTAGAAAGTAACTCTGGAACGGCTCAATGTATTTCGATGGAATGTGGTACAGATGTAGAACATAGTCGGGAAGAAAACATAGGCTATTAGCTTTTTTTTAAAAAATCCGAGCGGCAGGAGTTTCGGGCAAAATGTAGTTAGAATTATATCAAAATTGTTTGAGCAATCACAAAATTTTATGAAATTTTTGCATACAATTATTTTAGTAAATTTAGTTTATTATTGTTGCATTAAAATGTATGTAATAAAACCATAGTGTTTAAGGCCTGAAGGGCTCAATGGTATTATTTGGGTGTTGCCACATTCATACATATATATGATACAAGGACAGAATTGCGGAAGAAAACCAATTTGTTACAATTTTTCTTTAATAGTCTTTAATGGTATTTTACTTAAGTATTTGTTATTTTTTCCCTAAAATTCCTCCCCCTAGCTACATCCACCCGAGTCCCTCAGGACATATAGTGAGCTAATAACAAATAAATGTAATTTTCATTACAGCAAGGCAAAAGTGTTATAGTAGACAGCACAAATCCTGATATAGAATCTCGTTCCCGCTGGACATCTCTTGCCAAAGATATGAGAGTGGTGTGCCGCTGTGTGAGGATGGCCACAACCAAAGCGCATGCACAACACAACAATAAGTTCAGAGAGCTTATGAAGACTAATCATATGCCTGTTAATGATATTGTCTTTAATACATACAAGTAAGTGCACACTAACTGCATGAATTTCATATTTAAAGTAAAGAAATTTTTAAGAGTCTGTTATTAACATTTTTTTTATTTACGAAATCATCGTTGTAGGAAACACATACATTTGGAATATATATACTATTATAATATAGCGTAAACAAACACTTCTTTGTTGCCTAAGATGTCAGCAATTACAGCATATTTTTAAATAATTCTTTTTTAATAAAAAGCCCTACACTTCGTCACGCTTTAGACTACAAGTTTTCACGCCATTAAATTTATGGGCTAAATATTTTGGATAAATGCCATAATGTGGGAAAGAGACCATAAGTTGCTGCCAACATCAAGGAAGCAAGATTGCCATAGTAAGGCAATTGGTATTTTGACATTTGCAATTAAGAATGTGACAAATGTAAACAATAAAATAATGTATTTATAATTCCACGCGGATGAAGCCGCACGGGAACAGCTAATAGCAAATAAAATTTCTGTTTTAATCTGAAATTTAAAAAATACCGACATTTATTAAAATTGCCTTATATTTTTTAGAAATAAATACCAAGAACCAACAACTAAGGAAGGCTTCAAAGAGGTAATTGAAGTTAAATTCAATCCTAATTTCGATGATGAGAAAACTGAAAAATTATATAAAATGTATCTCCTAGAGAAATAAAATCATGAAATGTATTAAAACTTTGTAAACGTTGAATTTAGTGAAATAAAACAATAATTTATTCAGCAGTATTTTTTATTGCAAACAGACATTTAATGACTTACAGAATACTATTTTACGATTGCTTTAATATTAGGCCGAACTTAAAAATTAACATTTACTTCTTTAAAGTCAGTTTCCACTGTCGAAACACAAATTGAGAAAATCCTTCTATGATATCTTTGAAAACAGAGAAAAAGCATTTATTTTTGTAATTGCAATTCAAGGAATAACTAGTGACGCACAATGTTAGTTGATTATAAATGCTGTAACAATACGCTACATCCCGATCAAATGCCTAATTCAAGTCTAATTGACGCTCGTCTTCCTATAAGCTAAACGCTTGCAGTTTCACAATAAGAAACATTCATAGCTTACCAACTGTATACAGTGGGTTTTCACTGTATTGCCATCTCTCTTCTTTCCCAAAAAAATGAGACAGCAATGTTTTTGTATGGATGTTTCGAGTGAAAACTCCTACATTGCACACCTAAAAACCTAAAGGTTAATATCACATAATTGATTTGCTATTCATAAATGCTACAAGTATTATTTTAACAGTACAAAACTGAAGGCAGCCATTTTACTGGTTAAAATAAAAAAAAAAGTTATGGATTAAACCACGTTTATCCCCAATAGGTGATTAAAACTATATAAAATATTGGACATTTATGAATGAAGATAACTTTTATCCTAAGTAAATAACGTGTTAGAAATCTGTAGAGCTTCTTAAAATAATTTATCGACTAAACAAAACGAAAATTTATGAATAAATGCATTTGTGTCAATGAAATAAATAATTACAGCAAGCTCACATAAGAAAAGGACGGATAAAAATTTGCAAATAACCTAAAACAGTAACATTCAATACTTTAACGACTTCAAGTCTGAAAGCGAAACTGCTTTAAAAATCGACACGATACGGTCTTTAAACAGAAATGAAATTTCTTCACTATGTTAGGGAATATTATTTTTTCATCCTTTACCTTAATGCTTATAGCTATGGCAAGCGATTTCAGTATTTACATTAAATGTATGCTTTTAAAGCTGCTTTAGAATTTATAAATCGTACTCTCAGTTCTTATGAGATAAAAATAATTGAAGTTAAAAGTTAACACTATAGAATTATGTATTTACCTTTTATATGCGGAACGGAATAATTTGCATTACTTTTGTACTGAATACAAAAGACCTTTTTCATTATTGTAATTTTAACTGGGCTTACGCAAATGTACGAATACTACCAAAATCATTGATTATAAAGCGTAAGCTGTATTATGGATATGGCAGCATGCCATACAACCTACAGTGCTCGCCGTTTGTATTGGCACACGGGGAACAAGAGTACTGTTCTGCCTGATGTGCCAATTCAAGCGCTGAATATGCTATTATGTATTTTTCCTCAATATTCGCTACTTTTTCTTGTACACTCTCAAAACATATATTTAACATACATTTTGATAACAGTTTCTTCTACTGTAAATATTTATATTTCACAAGTACACACTGAAATCCGAAAGCAGATATTTTGGGTTCAAATACGCTTTCGAGTCAGTGTGCTAGAGACGAAGTGCTACGTTCACAATTATTTACGATTACGACCTTATTACATTATGACATAGGGTACTTTTCGTCACATTCATTGCATACTGGTCGATGCTTGTCTACCATCACAAGGCGTGATGATCACGATAGCCGGCTCCTGGCATTCGGCGTCAGGGTCCAGCTCGTCTTCACCAGCTTCTATCAGATTATCTAGACTCGAGTCCGAGTCCTCGTCTTGTCATCTGCAATGTTAATTCGAAATTATTTTACACTAGCTTTCGCTCGCGACTCCGTCCGCGTCCGGGATTAAAAAAAAAAACAAAAGTGAGTAGCCTATGTGTTCTTCCAGACTACGTTCTACATCGGTGTCAACAGTTTAGGGTACAACCTCTAACAAATGTCCATCTATCCAAACTTAAATATAAGTTTTATAATAATAAATGGGAAACTTACGATGGATTGATAGATGTTTGTTAGATCTTTTTAATTTCGAAGTTCATAATGTATTTGAAAACGTATTTTGAAAAAAAACGTCCTACTTAGAAAATAAGTAGCTCCTTAATGCATTTCTATAATATCCTCTTTTGATAAAATATTAACAGCAGATATCGCATATAATAACTCAATGATTAACATCTGTATGGAAATGACGAAGTTCTAGCTATACTTAAACTAATTTTAATTTATTTAACTGGTATGTGTGGGTAGTACGAAAACAATTTAACTACACACAACTGGCGACAGTAACGAGTTATTTTTTACGATACTACAATGGCATATCGTCCAACCAATATCTTAAGAAAACCTCAGTACAAGAATTTCTAAGATATTTGCAGGACAGAATAGCGTAACTAGTGATGTTACCTGGCGATGTACACAGTATCGATGTGTGCGAGAGTACCGGTGAGGGGGCGCTTGTGTCGCTCAAGATGACTGCGTGCTTGACGTACTGCTAGGTCGCCGCACCAGCGCTCGCAACGTGCGTATATTACTACGCCTGTTAAGATTAACACTACATTATTCTATAGTATCATACTAAATCGTAGCCTTTATCTAGACAGCAACTATGAGTCTTAAAGATGATTAAGAGTATAAGGCGAGATTATCTTAGCCAATTTTTAAATTTGTTTGCCACTCAATTCAGTCAAGGGTCTACTATAGTCCTATAGTCTTCAACACTTTACGACATATATAACGGTCACATCGCAATATGGTAATTATGTACATATGTCGAAACATACCTGCTCCAGCAAACAGAATAATGGCTGGCCAGGAGTCGAGCAGTAGTGGCGTAAGGAATAACAACGCCATGGTCATTGTTATTGGACCTTCGACGCCTTGGATCTTCTTAGTGCCCAGTTTGTGTGATGGCTGCCATATACAAATTAATGTTCCGCACAACCACACTAAAAATTAATTATACAATCATCAATATAAAAATAATCTATATAATATCAATATAATCTATCAAATATAAACCGTTTTATAGTTTGGGTCGGTGTAAGATGAAACTGAATATAGTTAACAAATGCATATAATAAATTAATGTAATGAAGAGGAGTTACTTGGTATTCCAGCGAGGAACATAGGCATCCTTAGGTCCTCGTTACAGAATGCCACGGCTAGGATCGCGTTGGCGAAGACCTGCACCGCCGCGCCCGCCGCCGCCCAGCGCGCGCCGCGCACGCAAGGTGGCGGTGGAGTGCTCGCTTCTGGGATCGCTGTTACCACCTAAAAAGTTTTACGTCTTTTACTTGAAGTCTTCATCAACTTTCACTTTATCTGCTCGAGTCTTAAAAGTTATTGGAATATTGAAAGTTAAACGGACTCATAAAATTCAGCGATCGTCAAAGATATGCAATAATTTTCAGACAAGACATTCTGAAAAATAAATTTGTGTATAGTAGTGAATTAACCTGTATGGTATCCTTGTATTCTTTAACAACGGCATCTATATCCGTGGAATCATCACCGGAGGATATATCATGTTCACTGGCATCAATATCAGATGGACAGTCTATATCCTCTTCGACGGCCATTGGTATTCTAACGTTGTTACTGGAAGTTTGCTCTAAATCCTCAGTTGGACAACCTGCGTATTCATCCAGAAGAAGGCACTCACGTTCTTCAGTCTCTATAAACATATCAAACAAATTGTTACCATTGTTGACTTTCATGGGTAATTTTAAATGATTCATTTTTTATTTGTTAGTCATAATAACTGTACCTTTTGTAACTTTGGATTTGATACTCTCTAATGTCTTTGTATGACGAATGGCAGAAGGAATGAACCATAGGCCACGTTTTGATTTTACCGAGGCCGATTTGACGACTCGCGACGAACCTTCTGTTCCGAGCCGTTTGTATTCTATATCTGAAAAAAACATACAGACGAATTGAGTTCCTCCTTCTTTTGGGAAATCAAAAATATATCGACCGCAAAAATAAAAAATTTATACACTCCACAATAGATGGTTTCTACTTTTGATTGAAAGCAAACTCTATTGGAAACTAGTGAAAGTCAGAAAGGATTTTTTTGTTTAGCATTCGTAAAACTTACTTCCTGCTTCCATTTGTTCCTTCGTGGGCACACATCTCATTATCATGAAGTGGAACGCTTGTATCGTGATCCCGAATAAGTGACTGGCATTCATCAGAGTTATCATGTGTGATAAAGGGCACGCGAATGCTAATATTGCAGCTAAACTTCCTGAAATAATTTTATCAAAATTAGTGAAAATGTTTTTAGATTTATGCATGTATTGATATAACTTAAAAACTACTGGGCCGATTTCAGAAATTCTTTCTCCATTAGTAAGATAATTTATTTGTGAATAACATAGCCTATTTTTTTTTATTTCACACTTACGAGGTCGCCAGCAACAGCTTGTTAAGTTATATGAACAAGTTATCAGAATGAGGTGATTAATGCACTAACCGAATACGAATACGAGTTACCTGCAGTAAACACAGCTAGGACGGGACTTCCAGTCGTAGTGCTCTCATAGGTCATTGATCTGGTGAGGACCTTCCACTCGGGAGAGGCGAGCAGTACAAGCAGTGAGAAGAGCAGAGGGCAGAGCTCGGTGAGAGCAAGGCAGACGCCGGCGACCGTGATGCCGGCCAGCACGGGGCACACCCAGCCCGCGGACTTCGCCTCTAGAAGAGTTGTTACTGGTAATGCCGCATCTATGCTGTTTCTGAAACAATATTTTACAGTGAATATTTTTGAACAGATATTTTGTAGCACGTCACTGCTTTTTTTTCTGAATGACGCAGAACACAGTTAGTACAGTAAGTTATCGATTATTTCATGAGTATTGGCTGTTGCTTTTACTTTAAACATGAAATAAAATTTGTACTTTCAGTAGGTTAATTTAACGTGTTAAAAAAGCGGTTAATTAATTATTAAAAAAGTTAAATCACCTTCCTCACTTACCCTTTTAGCATATTCGTATATAAAAAGCAAAGACTGGAAAGTATTATTGTAGGTAGACCAATGAGAAGGAACAAGTTTTTCTTGAGAGCGTTGTTCTGCATTGGTGGAAGACCAACGCTAAAGGCATACGATATCGGTGCGCCGGCAGCGAACAACTGAAACGTGCAATAATATTTTTTAATGATAAAAATCTTTCGCTACTCAAGTTCTATTGATAAATATTTTTAAATTGACTAAATTACCTCATATATAGTAATTGGAATTGGTATTTTGATACTTGCGATATCCAAATTTATTAGACCAAAGATCGCGAAACACTGACTGAATAAATACAGCAGCATAAGTAACATGAATGTAAACATCATACTCTCCTGAAAAAAAAATTGAAATCTGTTAACTTATAGAAATTAAGACTCGTTTAAAAGTTTAAAAACGTACAATAGTTTTGAAGTAAAATTCCTGAATTTGCTGAATGAGGATAGCAAAGGACCAATTATTAGGCTGAAGTTGCAGTAGTACGTACCTCAAGGCCACACATGAACATCGCGCAGACAACCATAACAACAGTGACTCCTATAACATCTGGCCAGGGCTCCCCCAAGGCTCTCGTTTCGTAGCCGAATAACCATCGCCTCGTCCGGCCGCCTGTCACGTGGTCGGCAGTCGCGCTGAGGATCCTCGCGCATACCGCCACCGCCACCAGGTGCGACAGGAAGCACATCCACATTGCCATGAAGTCGGCGAACGAACGCATGTTCCTCTCACGACGACCTCGTGCTGTTTTCAATGGTGGAAGGATTTCGGCTAGCTTCCGTAAATCCTTGCACGTTAATGCTGGAATTAGATTTTAGTAAATTGTAAAAATGTCTGGATAGATATGTTAGAATTATCTAACGACTCTGAAGTCACGATAGATTAATCAGATCAAACAGATTTAATTGTAAATTATTTACATACCATAGAAGATTTTGGGAAAAGCTTATGTCCAACGTCTAAGAATAAACTTGCTCTGCTTACATTTAGGGTTGTAGTTAAAGGTGTATAGATACGTACTAGCGAAGGTAGCAAATGCTGCCAGTAACATAACAGCTGGTACCGCGCAATAGCTTGCATTGGCAGCGGTTAGTGGTGCCAACAACAATGCAGCCAGCGTCCATCGTGCGCCACAAGCTTCGCTGCCACCCAGCGCGCTCAGCACCCTGCTAATACCAGACCGCTTCTCTCGTGGCTCACTCATGCTGCTTCACACCTATATAACAACGTTTTAAATGATATTAGCAGAACAATGGCAAATTATGAAGGATGAGGTAGCACGGGCGATGCTCCAAGTAAAGAGTGGCTAAATCCTATTGTCCGTTAATGATGACCAAGGGTAAATTGGATTACAAGAATTTAAACTGAAAACACCTATGTTTTGTTTTTCTTTTTCGGCGGCCATCAATCATCATATTGGAATTGAAATATAAATAGCAATAGTTTTGGACGTGAACGAAATATTTCAAGTTAAAGGGTACATTTACTTTGCTTTAAAAACGTACAAATGGATTATTCTGTAATTAATATTATTTCATTAGCATGTTCCGAAACTCACCATAATTTTACACTATAATACACTACACTCACTTCCACTAATACAATTCACTGCCCTTTTTATTATTTTCCGTCCATTTTTTAGTTTTCTTTTGAATTTATGATAGAAATTCACTGGATAATAAGAAAAATTTGGTTCTACTGCGCCCGCCGGTGAATAAGGTCGATTTTCAATGTTTATGCGACAAACTCGAGAAGGACAGAACTATATTGCTGTTTCTCTCTTATTTTCAGCAAAATCGATACGGATAGCCGCTATGGTGCCTCCAATTTTAAAGAAGGTATGAAAGATTTGTTTTGTTTTTAAAAATTGTTTAGTCGGTATTTATAAGATGTGTTCATGAGACACCGAATCAAAGAAAATCAACTGAAATGTAGGTATTAAATAAATTAATTTCAATCTTATTAAAAGTATTCCTTTATTTAACTAATTTTGTTGATTTCAAAACGGAAACTTATGTTTAATGTTTCTACATTAAAAATACGATTAAAGTCGATAATAAAATGAAAATTGGAAAGTCTCGACAGTATGGTCACCGTTCTTCAATTTACTATGGCTTCGGAGTTAAAGCGACATTGATCGTCATCACCTTGCATGTCTCAGCACAATCGTTTCTATGTAATTTCATATGGTGTGCTTATAGTTATGTTACTTTTTACAATTCTAGTAATAATAATATTTCTAGGCCCTACTAACTTCGTAGAATAGAATCCTTTTTAGGCAATTTTTTTAACTTTTATTAATATTTCCGATAATGCTATTGATTTCAAATACCTTAATGGTTATTAAAACGAACATTTTTAGTTGGTAATTTATCATTCATGTATAAAACATAATGGCTGATAATTTTAAAAGGATATGTGATACCAGTATAATAGGCGCACCAAGCAAAATTATTTATGAAATGTTACATATAAAAATAATTAAAAATACACAGTTTTGAAAGGCGTAGTTTTCCTTGTGTAGGTTATCAAAATTTTTCTTAAAGTAATTCGTCACAAATTCGAGATGTTTCCAGAAGTATGCGTAGGGTAAGAGAATTAATGCGTGAACACGTAATGGTTCATACAAAACAGTACGACTAATCCAATTATCATTGTGACTCAATGTCCAAGCAGCAGTTCGCGGAAAGATTGCTCCGACGACTCCTATCAAGTTTCAACCGTACTCTGTTCTGATTAACTATCGTCACTACAAACTGGAACATACTCGTAGTTCAAAAACCATTCGTTTAATGACGTCATATTATATTATCCTAATCATCTTACTTCTTACTAATCTTACTAACATTATAAATGCGAAAGTTTAGATGGATGGATGTTGGTTAGAGTTTGTACCCTAAACGGCTGAACGGATCTCGATGAAATTTGGCACAGATGTAGATGATAGTCTGCAAGAACACATAAGCTATTCACTGTTGGTTTTTTTAATTCCACGCGGGTGGAGTCGAGGGCGAAAGTTACTTTGACATATTTTAGGATTTTCAATCTAAGCAGCGCGACGATAATCGATAGTGTTTGCTAGTTAGTATTTGTATTGAAAAAGTAAAAACTTGGGGCGTCTGTATTAGTAAGTACATTCTCTTAGTAAGCTACCGTAACTTTCTGCCATAGTAAATAATATGTGCGCGCAAATATAGTGAAAATAAAACATTCATTTTGAACATAAGATTTCCGCATCTAAAGTTTGAAGTCAGTCAAAATAATATTATCGTAGTCGAGAAAATCCTTGGACAGTGTCAAACGGAAAAGATAAATTGATGTTTGTTTATATGTTCCGAATGCAAGGAGAATAATAGAGTCATAGGTTATCATGTAATATGTTCATAATATTATGCTGTACTCTCGTTTACTGATAAGAGCAGTCCATTGTGTGTTTCTTAATTATACAAAACTTTTGAATATACGTCTGTTTTATGTTTTAGTTGAACTATGATATTTCTGCGACAGAAAGAATAAGAGACCCTTTTATTCGTATTCTTTTATATACATTCTAGATAACACCTACACATTTCTATTAAAAATGGTGTTTTGAAAACTGTTGTAATATTTTATTATCGCTGTATTACTTGGATAGACGCTACGATAACAAAAGACGCTGTCTTCAACTGTCTCTATCTGAAAACACTATTGTTGTGAATAAAGAAATTACAGACACCTAAATACAGTAAGCGGTATTTTCGAATCATTGTTATCACCATTTTTTAAAGTGGACAAAGATTACATATGAGAGTTAAGACATGTACCATCGGCAAAATAATATGCTTAAGTTATTTTACTCATTTATGTTAAAATCTTTAACTCTTCTAATTTGAGATTTGGTGGAATATTTAAATCTTACCAATATTATAAATGCGAAAGTTTATATGGATGGATGGATGGATGTTTGTTAGAGTTTGTAGCCTAAACGGCTGAACCGATTTCCATGAAAATTAGTATAGTGGTAAAGGATAATCTGGAAGAATACATAGGCTACTCACTTTTCTTTTAATCCCACGCGGACGGTGTCTCGGGCGAAAGCTAGTTAATAAGTGAATAAGATGAAATAGAAATGGAACTTCAGATCTTCTTGTTCGCGTATTCAAATTATATTTTTTGGGTGGTTACTATTCCTTAACTATCTTAAACTGCGTTAAATTGTTTAATTACGAATGTTAAGAGGGTTTTCCGCTCTGTAATCTAATTAGTAGTAGGTAAAACCACCTTTTAAGTATTTACTTGTTAGAATAAAAGCCCTAGTAGAAGAAAGCGTGTGGGTGGGTCCTTTATAAACAGCGGGAGCGTCAGTGAATCCAGACATTTGACGGAATCACTTTGCATAGAGTACACGTTGAAAGAGCGTTGAAAAGTTCGCGGGAAAATAAGTGATAACGTAAATAGCTTGTGATTCGTTAAAATGAAGTTCAATAATTTATGTTTAATATTTATCGTGCTTCTTTGTTTAGTTTCTTTTACTTATACCCATCCAGCACCGAGTGAGAGCATTGATTATGTGAGTATTATAATTTTTTAAATTGAGTTTAAACATTTTTTGTTTGTTATTTTAAATAGGTTTTTCATACCTTAAATAATTAAAAGCCCATGCATGAACGCTATTTATAAGTAATTCACTATTCATTTTATTAATGCAAATTATTTTTTATGCAAGATTGCGTTATGACGATGACTTCTGGGTATTTCAAGAAGATGTTAACGATATCAGAGAATTGAATTAGAGATATAGGATCCCGGTTATATGGAATTTAAACTAATTATACGTGATTTAAAAATAATTAACGTTAAAAGAAAATCGAACTAATAGCCTGCAACTCTGAATCTAAGCAATGTAACCAAGTTCAATTATAAAAAAGGAAAACATTTTGTTTATCTTTTGGTTGGTTTGCTTCCGAAAATCTTTAAGAGGGACATAGAGGTATATTTATTTCATTGGAAATGTGAATTCATGACATACAGTCACTTCTAGACAGTCTACTAATTAGTAGGGTTACTCCATGTTAGTAATGGGGTGTTTGTTTTCTAGCTGGAAGCGCTGCGACGTATAAAGCAGGTGCCGCAGTGGCACTGCTTGAGGTACCGTCGCTTCGAGCTGCACAGCCCTTGCAGCCGCTGGTGGATCATGAGGAGGCACTGACAAAGGCAACCTCACGTGCGTCGATGGCGAATGTTAGCTAGGTATTGATGGTCTTTGGATTATACTTCTATTGTATGTTATTGTGATATTAAAATATTAAAGATTTACTACATTAAAATCATTATAAAATTGCATAATAGTGTAACAGTAATTTCATCTTTTTCATATTGTTACTGAACTGTATTTAGACCTCTCATGGTTTGACGTCACCATTTGATTAAAACATATGTGCGTTTGTTATTATAGTGTTTAGTCTAATTATTTGTAATACTTTAGTTAAAAGATAAATGAAATAATTGTAATGTGTTATTACGTCTCTAATATTTAAATACGTACTTATTCATATTGTAATATTAGTTATGTACTATTACAAGTACAATGTTAAATTTAAAAAAAATGAAATAAACATATGAATTTTGAAAACATTATCTGTTTTTTTTTATTTTCCTTTATAGAGTAAAAGAATGGGATATTTGTAATAATTTGTTACAAAAATAAACTTATGTTTGAAAAATAATGTAGCAATAGTAAAAATCATTCTATGAAACAATTCACAATATCGTAGAATATATCCTACGAAAGAGTTGCTCAGATTTCAATTTACCGTTCGTCAGATTGTAATCCAACGGACAAATGACACTAATCGTAGTTTGTTAAAAAGGTACTAGTATTACAGATGTAAATGTGAAGCTACATTATCCGGCCAGATTTTTTCCGGGATGGCTATCAAGTAACCGTATTATGACGTTATCAGGAAATATGTACTTCAGTTGTAATAAACTCTGAGAAACTACATGTTTTGTACAAAAGATAACGTTTAATGCCAAAAATAATATGTGGTATTAACAAATGTTATATTAATAAAAATCCTTATATCTTTAAAATTGCTTACAAATTGTGCAAATATACTTTTAAGTGTCATAAAGCGAATAATTACTGATTAATTGTTTAAAACATTAAAAATGTACTGAAATTAAATAAAATTTAAAGTAAGCGACAAATACTATCACAATTAAGGATAAAACAATACTTTTACTACTTTTTAAATTACTTTTTAAACAACAGTGTTTTCAAATGTTTAAATTAAATTCTGCGATCTGGTCTGTTGAAAAAATGTTTTTTCAAACCTTATCGCTCGCCTGCCAGTTTGTGCCGCCTCAAGACTTTGCCTAGTACTCGCAGTCTTTTGTTCATTTTCATTTTTATTTTTCTTTTTAACAATCCAAAAGTTGCCAGCAAAGCGTACAGTAAAGTAAAAAATTAATTCAACAAAGCTAAGTAGGCTTGCACAAACAAATAGTCCCGTTGTTCCTCCGACTGACACTAGAAAATATAAAATCACATATTTTCTCAATATAACTAAGTTTTTTTACAAATAACATTAATTTCCTTACCCACTAAATCCAATCGGCTTCTTACCACGTTTCTCTTAAATCTTTCAGTCGGTAAATATGCAACTACTATCTCAATAGTGGACTTTTTCTCTTTAGTTTTGGAACTGAAAAACATAAATACAAACACAAAACAAAACAAATTCAAGAAAAAACTTTCAAAGGAGTACATAAACATAATTTTGTTTGACAATTTTAATTAGTTTTTCTGTAGTGCTCAAATTTTTTATGCACGTAAACTGAGGTGCATTTGCAAGCTTTACATTAAAAAAGATAAACAACGTATTTTATATAGTGTGACTATAAAAATAAACTCGTATAATACAAGAGCATGTCGTATGCAAACTTTGCTTACAAACTCTACCATTTTCCATTTAACTTTACGCTTCTCTCAGAGCAAGTAAACAATTTAAACGCTTTAGAGCGAAGCGACAAAACAAAATGTGTTTACTTAGGTTCAAGAACAATATCTTTTGTTTTAATATTATTTTTAGCAACCACACGATGCTATTTGAAGCTTCGAAATGACTTATGGTACTAACCATACCAATTTCTAAGCAAAACGACTCCAATATGCCTTTGTTAAACTTCGAAAAACCTTTTGGGCTTAGAATTTTTCTATTATAGTACAATAATTTAATTCTTTGTTTTGAAGAGCAAGCTTACGTTTGTGCAAAACAAGAGTTTCACTCGATTAGCTAGACCAATGTGTTATGTTGTTACTTACGAGCTAACAACATCTTTGATGATAGTTATTTCAGTTTCGTCGCAAGAGGGCAGGCAGTGGCAGGTCATGCCGCGCCGGCGCAGCGCCCACTGCGGCTTGAGCGCTGTTAGATCACCCTCGTGTGTGTGAAGGCACAACATGCCTGTTATATTACAATGCTCAGATGCACCTGAAAAATTCATGATAAGATTAAAGAAATGATGATGCACCCGGATCTCTTAGTTAATCACGCTCTTTATACTGAGAATTTATAAACCAAAGTAGTAATAGTTACTGGTATCAAACATGAAGTGGTCATTGCATTGACAGATGCGTTGCTGCGCGTGCTTGCGGCACAGAACCGTGCAGGCGCTGTATGAATAGTGCGGGTAGAGGCCGTCGTTCTCGGTGTGGAAGCGGCACGCGCGCTGCTCCGGGTTCGTCTCTACCACCAGCGGGTCGTTCTCGATGTTTCTTACTATCAGTTGACGTCTAGATAGTTCGGAATTTCTTTGAGTCTATTAATTAAAGTCACACGCTTTTGTATTATTTCAAATGCAGCAAAGGACCAGTGATAAAACTCACTCAAGGTGGCAAAAAGACCTTCTATTTCTGTCTAAGAATAAAAACATATCTCAAAATTCAACGTCAAGCGGACATAGATGTTCGAAATAGGACCAGAAAAACAACAAAAGAAAACTAGTAAATAAGCGTCGAGTTTTAATTATTTACCGATAACTATGTCCAAGTTTGATTTTCAAAGTCGAATACTTAGACGATGTGATGGTGGGTACTTCATCTTCTCCCAGAGTGTATATCTTAAAAATATTGTTTTAATTAATCTATGGGATCATCCAATAAATCATGCTTAAGTAACATTTTCCGATATAAACGTTTTCTTACCATGGAAGGCAATAAAGCATCAAACTTAAGCACTCCGCGTTTTTGTTTCATGTTCACGACCATTTTATACGGATTAGGTTTCCTGAAATTAATAATATTTATCTAGTACCCACTCTATACTATATCATTCGTAATCTGCAGATACAGTGAGCAAAAAAGTCGTACTTAGTCTGTATAGAATTGATAATATAGCAGGTCCCCATATCCGTATCTATTGCTTGAAAGTACTGACAGCAATCAAAGTCCTGGTCATTGTAGGAACAGTTGGTCAATGTCTGTCGACAGCCACTTCTCACCAGTTTGGCATAGTAACTGTAGTTTGAAGTTTGACAGAAGGGATCCGGATTATTATTTTTGTAACATACGTCTATTAGTCTGTAGCATGAACCTCGGAAATATGCGACATCTTTGAGTGCATCCTCAAGATCTAAAAGATGCTTTGGCGTCCAAATCCTAAAATATTAAAATTGTATCTGAATTTGATATATAAAAGTAGTTTATTTTGATCTCTCAATTCAATATTAAAAGACAGAGAAACCGTAAGGCTGAATAGCCGCATTGTTTGTTGTTTTGTCTTAAGATTTAGGCAATTTTATTCTTCATACGATTTTTCAGTGTAAATTAGATATGAACTTTACTAACGTGTCTGAAACGTTGTAGATCATAAGTTTGTTATTCGCTTCACAAATGGCGACTGCTGGCAGCTTGGTGTCCCAGTCTGTGTACGTTGTCTCCACACCGAAACTGATCGGATTCGTGACGAATGCATCCCACGCTGCTAATATCAATAACGCTGATCCATACCATGAAAGGATCACCAGTATCACCCATAGGAACCTGTTATTTTTTTTAATTCTGACATGTGGTTTGAGATCTGAAGTAGCAAAGTTATATGATAATTTTATTTTCTTACCTCTCAGACCAATGCCTCGTGCTATCAGCAATAAAATGGACGCCTGCAAATGTGCAACATGAACAGTAATCTTTTACGAGGGATTTGCATGAAGTTTTCGTCATATCGACTTAAGTTACTCGAATACCGAAGGTAAAATGTCATATTTAATGCATTCTGTAGCATTTAGTTGTTGTGCAAGTATAAATATTTTATTAGGTGCATTGAATTGAAAATATTGTGTAATGTCGTGACCACTCAAACAAGGTTAGATGGATGATAAAATAATATACGAAATTATGCTTTATCACGGCAAGTGTTTTTTTATTTTAATACTATTTGTACAAAATATCTATAACTAATATTTTAACAATACTTTTAAAAGATATGTATGATTTTTTTACATTGTGTTTTGTTTTTTTCTGTTGTAAGTATGCAATTTACAACTAATACAGTATTTACACATGAACGAAATTCAAGAAGCGTTAAACATTAACAGTTTTTGACTGCCTGAACTAAAACAATCAAATCTTGTCTCAACTATATACAATAAGTATAGATTACAATCTAAATTATGAATATTTGGTTATAACAATACTTAAATTAATTTATAGATACTGCAATAAATCTGTATGAGATAGATATGGTATATCGTAATGTTGAGGACTGGTGCTTTGCTGTGGCGATGTCTTGTGGCTGCGAGGGCGGTGGTATGTCGGTGGCGGCAGGCCGGGCTGGCGCGGGATAAAGCCGGCGTGCGTCAGAATATTGTAAATCTCCCTACGTGATACTGTGTCTGCTTCACGTTGAAATACCTACAAAGAATAATATAAATACAAACGGCAAGAAAATTTACAAATTAAAATAAATAAATGATAAAATAATAAAAAATAAATAAAATGGTTTTCTTTCTCATTACCTACATAAGGTTAGACATGACATTTAAAATTCCAGACCTTTTTCCAGACTGCTGGAAAGTCTCTGTGTAAAGTGTACACATATATGTAATCTATCGCTGATACTACGGCAAATACTTTGACTATAATGTGCTCACAATACTGGACAATAATTATAATGTCACAAAGCTAACATGGTCTTTTATAATTCATGTCAATACAACAACTGTATCCATTGGTTTTTCGCCAATACCCATCCATTTTTAGTACACCGGAAATGAGGGTGATAACATACGAGTGTAATACAAATCACAATACCTCCAATTTTCTCACGTCAGTCACAAGAAGAACGCCTATATAATATGACCGTCATGGTAACCGTTGCAGAACATTACACAATGCAACAATTAGTAAGACCTTCCAGTGCTGTCGAAATATCAAACATCCACATCTTGATTTTGTTTAATTATATTGCGATAACAACGCCAAATTATTTGCTATTGCCCTTGAACTGTGCACGTGTTGAGAAATGATGAAGATAATATTGTCATTTTAAAAACATTTTTGATGTCGGTATGTATATTTTGGATTTTACGATTGTTATATTATAATTTACCAAAAACTGTGCTAATTAAACTTTTAACCCTTTTCTTATGGCCACTTAAATAATTTAGAAAATTGTATATGTCTAAAATAGTATTACAGAATTCAAAATTAGTTAAAGCTTCATAAGTTTAATATTCTTTGTAAGCCTAAATTAACATGTTTTTAAGGATCTTACTGGTTTTTCCCCTTCATGTAGAACGCTGGTCAGCGGTAATATCTCCTGAAGGTGTGGATTGCGCAGGGCTGGACTCCGTAAGTCCTCTGGCAGCAGTTCCTCCTCCAGTCGGACTTGGACCACTGCGGGGTGCGGGGGAGGGAGGCAGCTGGCCAGGTACGTGCAGCTTAGCATAACTGCTATTGCGATCTTCATTTTGAATTCTGAGGAGATGGATTTTTACTTGTTTTAAAAGTATTGTTGATGTTAGAAAGAATTATACGTGATCTAAGGTTTCCACCCGAAATACCAATAGGTACATATGACTAGAAACTACGCCTAGGTTCATTTGTTTTTAGTGAAATTATAGTAGAGATTATTACATATAGTCAACTAAAAGAAAATTTATAATCCAATCGACCTTATGTGGTATAAATAAATAGGCATATAAACGGTTGAGAATCGTATGCATGGTTAATGGTGCAACTTAACCGCAACCGACAACTTTAACCGCTAAGCTACTAGTTTGTTTACATAAATAATACTACTGTATACTGTAAACATATCACAGATGTTTGAAATAGTAAAACCGGTTGCGTTTGATGCGTCAAATTAAGTAAGAAGAATAGCCTCTAAACACCTATTGACCCAGTTTCGCGACCGCGGCGGATATGTTCATATTCGTTGGACATTTCGATACTATCTCAAAGGCCGCACGCGACAACGTAAATTGGTATCATTACGATCAGCCGGCCGAAGCTAGAATTTGGTAGCTCGTTTGTATACTGCAGTTGCATCAGTGAGATGAACGAAAATAATATAAGTATAACCGTATAAAACTGTTTACAGATTCAACCTTATATCTTTTCACTTTCTTCTATATCGATAGAAAAAAATTGTAACGAGACTGTTGGATAATTTTTGTAACTAAGTAACTGCATTTATGTTAATTCGTTAAAGTATAAGCCAAAGTCGAGGTTCGTCTGTCCGACAAGTTAATTAGTGCGTAGTACATAAAGTGCAAAAACCTTGAATTTTTTAAAAATAATTTACTTATGACTGTTATCTATATAAACACAAAAGACCTTAACATAAACGATGACGGACCAAAAATAAATGCGTACGTTCACCGATATCTCAATATAATGGCCAAGGTCGCGATGTCCGAGTAAATTTTGCTTTCAAATTTACTATCAAAAATTCACCTTCGACAATGTTCTCACAGATGTCGAGATGAGATATTTGTGTCGGTTTTGTTTACGAAACTAATGACTGCGAATGGAAGTTTACAATGATATTACGAGTATAAGCATAATGGATGGATGTTTGTTAGAATTTGTAGCCTAAACTGCTAAACGGATCTCGATGAAGGTATAGATAGATAGATATATGTAGAGGATAGTCTGGAAGAACATACAGGCTACTCACTTTTGTTATTTTTTAATTCCTTGCGGATGAAGTCGCGGGCGAAAGCTAGTGATATGTTTTTATCCGATATTTTTTTTTAACAGTTATAGTTTCGTAATAGTTATAGTTATATGTAGTTATAGTTAATAGGGTGACAAGTGCAAAAACACACTTTTGCAGAGGTTTTATATGTTATTAATATTATTTTACAAATAATTTTAACTTTAACGATAACCGGCGATATGATGCAACCCACCCTTAATGTTTAAATAAACATGTGTACTGTACTTGCCCTGTTACTATGTATTACTATTCTGGTTTATTATCAAGCCAGATCCACCGGTAACGACATTGCAGGAAGCTAACAACTTTTGTTAACTGTTAGACAACTTTCAAGAAAGTAAAAGGAAAGGTTGTAAGAGATTCTAAAATATTAATTAAACGTATTTTAATTTACAGTTAATATAAAAAGCATTTGTTAAAACAAATGTATTTAAACAAAATGGTACATATGTAACATATATACAAAAATGGATCTTGGCGATCTCAAAAATGATTTTAACCGGTACTATATTTATGTCTTAAATTACATGACAGTCTTGTACTTCTTACTTTACTTATTGTCCTTTATTTTTTTAAGTAATTATCAAACGTGATTAATGAATTCAAAATATCTCAAACACATGATTTACTTGATTAAAAAAATATAAAAACCCTTAATAAAATGAAACTTTTTTAAACTAATGTAGAGCACTTACTTTATAATATCGATAACACAACACTTCACTTAGCACATAAACTTGTTTAAGTTATATAATTAAGCTGAACTTAATCAGTGTGTTGGTTGTGAGCGCGGATGGCTTGTGTGTGAAGGAAAGCGACGAGAGACCGTGCCTCCACCACTGCTACCTGTTGCAATCCTGAACCTGCAAAGCTTTACTTTATAAAAACTTTATCGCAGCAAAATTCTTACATTTTTTATAATAGACAACGCATTTGTTACATAATTATCATTTACATAAACATATAAATATACACCTTTAAGTTTTCGAGCTCTTGCAATTTCAAGCTGGTAGTTTATGGTCAGGAAACAGAAAGTACAGTAAGAGCGGGTGCAAATCTCTGACTAAAGTTTTGAACGTAACGATTGTCAATTGTTTCGCAGCCAATTAAACTATTTGCTCAACTAAAAATCGACTAGTGCGCGCACCTCTTTATAAGTATATAGGAATAAAAGCGAGACTACACAGTTGTGCGACAGTTTAGTCAAAAGTGTGCTTGTACTCTAAAAAGGCATTTGATCTGATTATAAAGCCAATATCCTTAACTATCTGTTGTTAAAATTATAATTAAAAATGTTTGTAGACAATTTAATTACAAGCACTTTGTGTGAAACAGTTTGTTCAACGTTTAGTAGTAATTAACGGCCATTTGCTTAGTGTCTGTGATAGTTTTTCAAACGTAATTAGACCTAGATTACTGATAAACTCCACATTAATGGTGTGGAATAGGTCAAAATCGAAGGTTGAAAACTGATGATTTAATAATTTCCGAACAAAGCTACTACTGATAGGTTAATGATTTTCGAAGTATGATTAACTATAAACGACTTTTTTATTTTACACAGATCATACGGAATAAAACTTTATGATGAAGCAGTGATGAAAACAATCTTTAAAATTCAAAAATACTAAAACATCCTAACACATATGCTTCGTAAGGTCTATTATAAATGCATAATTTCTGCAAGAATCATGTGACACGGTCGCAACACAAAATGCCATAGTTTATTGTCTTGTAATGCAGATTAGTTTGCGTAAAACCACGTGATGGCGCTCTTGAGACGGCAGAGAAAGGAAGCTAGTAATATGCCTGACCACGAATATACACATATGTACAAAACATACTAGATAATTTGGTCTGTACAAGAATGCATTAATGCAATATTGCATCAAGCACTTTGACTGTTTTAGATGGAATTTCAAAGCATTAAATAATACGTAACTTATGACGACATGGTTTTCGCACGACAATTATAAATTATTTATGTTTTATTGTTTACTTTAAATAAAATGTTGCAATGAGGTAGTTCAGTGGTTTTATGTCCAACTTAGAATAGTATTTTTGGGGGTCAAGTCTAGACCCTTTTTAAAGTTTTATTTCGTACTTTTAATTTTTTTTATTTACAGTTACCATTTAAATAACTAAATATCGTATGGCCATGATTCAATTAGAGGCCAAAACTGTTACATGTTTAAGTCGAAAGTGATAATTATGCAATAAAAAACGATCGTAAGTACTGAGTCATTTTTAAGTACCAACAGTTTACAGTAAACATTGGTGTAGGAAACGTATGGATAACATATTGTTGTGTCTAGAAATAAGCTTTTATTTAGAATCAATACTCTCAAAAGACATCAATCACAATAATTAACTTCTAATCGAGTGTCGATCTTATCGAGTAATGGAATATTTAACAACAATCGTTTAAGTACACCTCTAGTTTCGAAATGTAAACTAAACCCAACACTATTTTAGTTGCAATTAGTTCATACATGGATGAATATCGATAGTAAAATGCAATCGAATTCAGATCCCTCGTTCGCATCGACTTACCGCCGATACCAGAGAAGGCTTGCGAAACAGACCGATCTTGAAATTTTGAAAGAGAGCGTTAAGACGGTAGGCAAAGATTATTGCGCGGAGTCGTCTATCAGTGGTTTGAAACATTTGGTTAATGATAATACATCGTTCTTGGAAAGGTATGTGCTTGTTTGAAATCGTTTTATTAATCGCAATCTTAGTCCAAGTCCAGTTTGCGTTGCGTATTAGGGTTACATTACACCATCAAAAATGATCACATAATAGATTTCAGATGTTTTGACATAGAGTATTTTGTCATAAATTTATTTATAGCTTAATCACTTACTAAATTATTTTATTAGACTTATATTTAAAAATAGACAACGAAAAATATCGTGAAGCTGATCGTTGAGAAGTCTAGTGAATAGAGCCCATAAAAGTGGCTCAATTCTAATTGACAGTTGCTTAAACTTTATTGGGCTTTAGGGTAGAGTTGTATTAGTGTAAAATATGTGTTTCTCACTTGTTTTCTCGTTTACAACAGAATAATATGGATAATAATAATGATAAGTGCGCTCATCTGCTCCGTGTCGCTGGTATGGTTGACGTTCAGGAAGTACTACAGCGCGCCGCTGGTGACCACGCAGATGCCGGCCGGCGTGTCCGTCAGCAAGATCATATTCCCAGCAGTCGGTATCTGTTCTAATAACAGGATCAGTAAGCGAGCTATCACCGAACTCGCGCGAAAACTGTAAGCTAAATGTTAAGAGAACAAAATTTAATTAGAGTAGAATTAGATTTAAAAATAATCAGGGAATACTTACAGGGAAAAGATTTTACGTGTCAATAAAATTTTGTTGTGATTGATTCGAATGTAAAATAAAACAAAAGATGCTTTACATACATATAAATTTAATTCAGAGTGTTATTTAATTCAAGAATTAATTGGTTATTTAAATATTAGCAATTTAAATAAATAAAGTAATATATGCAATATAAATTCAATTCAATTTTTTTTAAGGGTTAAAGAGGAGCGCAATAAGATGTACGATGAAGAGGGAATGCTGTCCCTTCTAGTGGGTCTTGGCTTGTTATATAACATAGACCCGGTGGACGACGAGGTTGTGAAGCCGATGCAACTGCACCGTGCGCTCGGCGTCTACGATGTCAATGAACTTATGAGGAACGTAAGTAAAGTTCCACATTCACTGACTCCGGTAATTACATAAGTGGTCCTAGTTGTACTGATGACGTGTTACGGTGGACTTCCATTGCTGCACGAGTACAATAAATATTGTTATCTCAGTTTTTTATAAAGTTATGAAGATGATAAGATTTTGTACGAGTTTTCTGCATAGAAGTCTACGGTTATTTTAGGTAGTTATGTGTACATTTGTGAATCAAAGATAATGACAAAAAAAAAATTATTGTTAATTATCTCCCGTTTTCGATTGTCTTTTAACTTTTTACTTTTACTTACTTATTTCCGCAATTCCCCTCTCACTTTTACAACATTGACTTTCATTCATCTTTTGAATGTGTTCAAACAACCAAAGCACACCTTTCTTAATACCAGTCATAAGAAAAATAAATACATTTCATCTCAAAAAGCTGCCCCTTTTACTTTTAAATAGCAATAATTGTCTCTTTGGATCAGAGAAATCGTTGGTTCTACCACTACCACTCATTGATACAAACAAATTAATCTGAAAACATGCAGATATTAACATATACATAGTCATAGAAAATGAGTACGTTACTAAATATTTCAAAACGACGATTTTGTTTAAATTGGAATCAAATTGTACTTAATAAATAGGAAATGTATTTCAAGGTTTTCTTGTTTCGTGTGATGTAAGAATCATCTAGCATGTGACCATTTGCAACTTTATAATGTGGCCAACAAACTTTGACCGAGTTATTCAGATTGTTGTGAACTTAATGTTACATAAACAGAAGTGGAATTTTTCCCGAGCCGTACTGATCCGGTATCAAGATTGTTATGTAGATAATAAAATGTAACATTACAAAAACATGGTCATTTCGAAAACGATATATTCAGATCGTTTAAATGTTAATAATTATTAAACGCTCGCACTTTGGAAATGCAATGATTAATTTGTAACTAAATATTTATGATATGACTTTTATGTAGCTCTTTGAGACGTTTAATTTATTGAATACTAAGGCTCAAGTTGTATTTACTAATTTGTTTACCAATTTAAAAAATAAAATCGACTTCCAGTAGTCTTATTCCATGATGATAACGCATTTCTATCGAAAAACTGCATCACGGAATATTAAAACGAGTATTTTATTGGAAGAAATATAATAAAGTATCACATTAGTGATTCTACCTTTTACCAGTTAACACCACGATGTGAGGATCTTCTACTACGATGTGCGTGGAATGACGAACCTAAAAATTGCTCCAAACTGTTCGACTTTCGACTAACAATGAATGGGTACTGTTGTACTTTTAATTATTTGAGACGATCTGATGGTATGTTTAAAGAGTAAGTATCTTTTAACTTATAAGAAAGATAACGTATAATAATAAATATAACATAAGTATGAGTTTTTACTACTGAAACATGCGAACAAAAACATTGGTATATCTTTTTTTAAAAGGAATGATTGAAATGTTAAAATCCTTTTGTATAATTATTTCGCCTGCCAGAAAGTGCTAAAGCTGTATATATTTGTAGCTCAAACGAAATAAGTCGCAGCATTGATATGTACAAATACGGCAACAAATCGAGTTTTGATTTCGATCAAGGATTGAAAATATTGATGCGTCTCAATGATAGTGATGATTTTTACTACAATCGTCCTTTACAAGGAGCTCAAGTATGTATTTACAATAACCGTGAATATTTACTGCAGAAAAGTGTGTACATTTGTTTTATGTCTCAGTTGCAGTTCTCTGACGCATACGACTTCCCAGATGCTCCTAGTGGAAGTTTTTCTATGCAAATTATCAGTCCAAATGTGCAGGTAAACTGTTGTTATTTTTATTTAGGAATAACCGAGAATTTGTACTATCGTAGCGCCTGTACATATTGATTAGCAAAAAAATAGGTTGTTAACATTTTTTTTAATTGGTTTGTATAGATGACCGTCCTAGTAACAGCAAGCTTTACCGAAGCCTCACGTGACATACAACACGTCCCAGTGAAGTTACGTCAATGCCTCTTCTACGACGAGTCCCAGTACCTACCCTTCTACACGCACAGCGACTGCATGCTTAAATGTCGGATGTCCTTTTTACTAGCTAACTGTAATTGCACACCATTCAACATGCCTAAGATGCCGAATACGAGGACTTGTGATATGAGAGACGTGCCCTGTCTGCGAATTTACAATGGTAAGATAATTGAGAATTTAATAACCGCACTGTGAGTTAATGATCACTTAAATAGCTTAGTATATCTTATAATAAATATACATTAATGGTTTTCTTTATCGAAAGTTAACTCTTATAGCGGGCGCACACCTTTGACTAAAGTAACGGACAACTGTTGTGCGATTGTCGATTGTTTCGGAGCTAATTCAACTATTAAGTTGCTTATTTAAAAATCGTGTGCGCACCTTCCTATAAGCTCATAGGAATCAAAGCGAGACTAAGCAGTTGTGTGATACTTTAGTTTCAGGTGTATGCTTTTAGGAGGTAGTTATTATAATCTTAGGTTTAATTACTTTCAAAATTTTATAAGCTGTTATTTGAATTTTAATAAAGTTTAATTTTATTTCAGCGCAATCAATCACAGTCCGTCCGAATGTCGATCAAATACCATTTGAACTTGAGATGAATATTGTAGACGGGGGTATCAACTGTCCAATGTGTTATCCAACTTGTTCCAAAACTGCATACAATTATGACTTCACCAATGTTAGAATTTACCCGGACTATTTGAACAGTGTCCCTGATACCGACAGAGTTGACTGGCTGTAAGTAAACTTTGTTAAGATATATAAATTATTAACGGTGAATAACTTCTAATTATTTTAATGAATAAGGGTCTATTTAATGGTAAGTAAATCAAATACAATTGTAATCACATATCAATAAATTTAGTTTATAAAAAATTATCGACGTATCTCGAAATTCTTAAAAGTGTAGGTGGCAATTGGGCATTCGTTCTTGAAGGCGACCTTTTCAATCTTTGATTTAGGGCTTCCCACTTCACGGAGCCAAGTTTTCATTTCTCTAGCAGCATTTTTTGGACCTTGTAGTTGTCCAACGACTGTCCCTTGAGCTGTATTCTTCACCCAACCTTTAAGACCTAAGCCTGCGGCTTTCCTTTGCGTGTGTTTCCTAAAGTACACACCTTGGACTTTCCCGAATACTTCATAGTCCACTGAAACTAAACCCTGTTTATCACTATCATTGGACATTTTGCTAAAATATTTGTAAACGATAAAATTTTTGTAAAGTCAAATTGTTTTTGACGTAACTTTTATATTTTCTTTAAAAAATAAAGTAGTCCTTAGCAACCAGTAACTAGGGAACACAGATCAATAAAATTAAGTTCATAAAAAAGAAGACAGATGGCACTTCATACCCTGTTGGTAAAAATAAACTTTAATGACGTAGTTGAAGACCCTATATTATTATGGACGGGTTCTCATTCTTTACAATAGATTTGTATGTACTACAATCAAACTATAGAACTGTAGACACAACGTTGGAAGTTAAACAACTAAAGTTCCAATGAATAGGGTTGAAACTTGTTTGTTCTGTTTGATGGAGTTAGTTAAACAACGTTTGTTTCAGTCGAGACGCGAATTTCACCGGAACCTCCATTGTGCACGTAAAGTACGGCAGGGAAGTTGCCGACTGTTACGGGCAAAATGTTATTATGAAATGGTTCGACTTAATCAGTAAGTAGTTTTTAAATATAAATTACAATCTGAGTAGTAAAATTGTATTGAAATCTATAGAAAAAGTTAAAATGGAAGGCGACGTCCATGGAAGGGAATGGCGTCTGTATTGTGGCTTTCGTGTCTGTTTTAGTAACGTTAAATCTAGTGTATAGTAATATGAAATTAATTTAATTTATACTTATCTGCCCAGGTAACATCGGATCAACGTGTGGTTTCGTCACCGGATTTAGTTTTGTCTCTGCGTTGGAGTTCGTGTATTTCTTCACTGTTAAATTATGTCGGGAAATAAAGAGGCGTGGGCAGGAAGAGACGGCGGGGAATACGGGGGCGCCGGCGTCGCCTCCGTACGAGACCATAAAGAGATATCATTCTTTGTACTGGAATGAGTTGGTTGGACCGACTAGATTGAAATTTGATAATAACATGTTAAAATAATTAATTTTTGAACCTAGTATGAAGTGATGTATTTTTTTGAAGATTAGAAGATATGTAACTTATGTTATTTACAATAAAAAATATATCTTATTCGACGATAATTATTTTGCAATTCAAATGGTTAATAACATTTTTTTACCTAAGTTATTTTTTTAACTATTTTTTTTATTACATGTTTCACGTTAAACATTTTGATAAGAATCAAACAAAAACAAATAATTGCCACACAAAAACATATTTAGAGTCTCAACAATAGAAACAGATGTTTGTTCTCATAAAATAAATGATTTTTATTCGATAAACCCGAACTAACAAAATTAGCTTATATTTTATTCAGAAGTAATTTGCTATGCAGTCAGTGATTTGAATTAAACGAAATATAAGAGAAAGCCATCTATGTTTTTATTCATTTCTACTTTATCAGCGTGGGTAGTTTAAAATGTATCGGGAAACATGCAAAAGTTATTTCGAGATTTGGTGGAATGGTATCAAAAGTTTGCCTGAAACTACTTCAATACATGGGTTTAGATTTATAGGAGACAATAACAGACACTGGACTGAAAGGTAAAACAGTTGAACATATTTTTTCAATTAAAATATGTACTACGCGACACCGTCCGCGTGGAATTAAAAAAAAAACGAAAGTGAGTGGCCTATGTGTTCTTCCAGACTGTCCTCTACATCTATACAAAATTTCACCGAAATCCGTTCAGCCGTTTTAGCTACAAATTGTAACATTCATCCATCCGTCTAAACTTTCGCATTTATAGTTAAAAAATAGTTTTATTATTACGTTAATTATATTATGAATCTTTACCACATTACGGTTTTTTTTTCGTTCGATTTTTAATCTTTTTCTTGGTATAACGTGTTTTTTTCAGGATTTTCTGGCTAATTTTCGTGGCTCTATGTTGGTTCGGTTCGTCTTTATTGATAGCGGCGCAGTACGACGCTTACCAGAACTATCCCATATCTTTTGTAGTTGAAACAACGTATAAAGACTGGAATACATATTTCCCTTCGATAGCGATATGCGAGAATGATAACATGAGACGTATTGAAGCTGTTTCTGACAGGTAATTGAAAACTAAATAATTGAATTCTATGCATGTTATTTTCCAAAGATACCTTAAGAGGTATCTTAGGAGGTATTAGGTATTTAAGAATCGCTTATAAATCATCGCGTTTTGTTTTAAATCATGTTTCAACTTAATTTTACAGATTATTTGGACAAGATCACGACTTTAACATAGAAGAAGTTATAAAAGAATTGAGTTATTATAAAGGTTTCACGTATTTTGTCTCTGAATTCTGTTCTGAAGAAAATCCTTTACTAGACTGTGACAAATGGAATCTCACATATTACGCAAACGTGGTATGTATTTTACAATTAAAATCGACTTCTGTCGAAATGAATCTTACCCTAATTCTGTTATTGTATGATAGTAAAATTATTTATTCTAAGATGCAGAAAATACAGCTATATTTTTCTTGCGCCTTTTAATAAAGTATATATGCAGATTTATACTGTGGTTATATTCATCTTGTTTGAAACACCCTATATATCTTCTAGGTCCGAAGTCCTTGTGAGGAAATGCTGAAGAATTGTTCTTGGAATAATGTCCAGTTCCCTTGTTGCAAGATTTTTAACCTGATTAACACGGAATTCGGAGTTTGCTACATCGCTAACTCAATACAAGTCAGGTCAGCAGAATACGATAAAATTTAGAATTCCTAAGTAACGTTAAATTTAATTCACTTTTATATTTTAGACAAAAGCGACCGAAGTTTCATATGGTTAGTAATAAAACTACAGGTCCAGGAGTTCTTAACTTACATGTGATAGTGCCCGCAAAATTGTACGTGACAAATGAAGAAGAAGTACCTTCGCTCACTATCATTGGTTTGGATGCTATACAAATAGAACCTGAGACATCATACAGGTTATATTTCTAAAATTGTTGCTTTTGTTTTAATAGATTTTTATAATTCAATTAGTATTACTTAGTACTGTTAAAATAGAATCGGTAAATTTCAGCCAACCTTTCACTAATTTTAAATGTAATTAGAGCGCATTTAGTTAAGAATTTATAAACATTTTTCCTCTCAGACGAATAATTTCCATAAGAAATATTGAAAACGACGCCGGCGCTCGTGTAATAGAGCCCGCGAAAAGAAAATGTCGTTACGTGGACGAGAACTTTCTGGACGTCTATCCTTATTACTCGTACACCGCTTGTACTGTGCAGTGTAGGAAAAATGCACAGCTCAAGACATGTAACTGCACTAGTTTTTACATGCTTAATGTGAAGGAGGAAATGAAATGCGACATTAACGGTCTTATTTGCCTTAATGATCACGCTACTGATCTTTCTGTGAGTATAATAATCCAACTTACTTATAACCATCGAGGTGTCAGCAAAGTATGTGCTGATCAACCATACAGTTCTATCAGCCGTCATATCTGAATCCACTCCTTTCTTAAGCATATCGTCTTTCACAATGCTCACTTTCTTCGGTCTTCCTCTACCGTTGTAGCCATCCACATTCAAACTTAACACTTACTGATTTATGTCCCCATTCTGTCGTCGTATAAGTATGGTATGAACATAACACGCTAATCTTAGGCTTCTCAATTTCTCGACCAGTGGTGCTAGTTTCAAACTTCTTCTAATATATTCATCATTAACTTTGTTACTTATTATCACACACACAGTCAGTAGTTGGAATACATTTACAAGAGTAATCAACGTTTTGTTTTACCAGGCACTGAAAGCAAAATGGTCAAGTCGTCCCGGTTTAGATTGCGATTGTCTGCCATCTTGCACTGAAGCCGAGATATCTATAGTGAAGGATTTCAAAACAACTACAACCGAGAGCTACGCGTCTGTGCAAATTGAATTGGCAGCGTTACCAAGCGAGCGCTATAGGAGAAACGTCGTACGTGGATTCCTTGACTTAGTGGGTACGGAATCAATTTTTTCTCTACGTTCTTTATAGGTTGCGATATGTGTACATAACATTCAATTTTCGTTTCAAATAAAAGTAAAATGACTAGGAAATTATTATGTAAGCAATTTTATTTTTACAGTATCAACCGGAGGGACTGGAGGTTTGTTCCTGGGAGTGAGCATTCTAAGCTTCGTAGAACTTTTGTATATTTTATTGATCCGTCCATTTTGCGATATCTACAGCAGGTTGGACGATGATCCTTGGTACAAAAGGTTTGGTGCACAACATTTTAATAACAATAATTTTAAACCCAAACTTGTCAATCGAAAGAAAAGTAGCAGAATAACAAAGAAACGAGAAATGTTATTTCACAGAAGGTTTTAGTTTATTTGCTGAAATGTGTCGTAAAATTTTCACAGTCTTCAGTAGGTTTTAAGTTCAAGAGTAAATTAAGTATGCTTGCTTACAAATTTAAGCCACAAAGTACAAAGTTTTCGTTATCAAATTGTCAATAAAACACATAAAAGTACAAGTATTGTAAAAATAAAAATTAATTAACACAATATCTCCTAACTATTTCATCAAAAACGCTTATAACATTATTTTTATAATCTTGGTTTGTTTCCATCATTTTAATGATAAATGCGCCTTTATTTTTCGAAAGTATTTCATTAAAATTTTCAGTGTTGCCAAATATTTTCGTGATTAGATTATCATCAAGCCAAAACTGTGGAATAAGGCAGGCGCTTACTACTAAACCCCATAATCTTTGTTCCTTCGCTGATGTTAAAAACATTTCTTTACTCAACACATCATTTATTTTTATACCTTTTTCAAAAAGTATTCGCTGTAATTCTTCGTAGTAGTGATTTAAAAAGAAATATATATTATTTTCACGATAGATTGGATCTAAATTACAATAAAGAAGAAGCATTACATCTCCCGCAGGTTCTTGATATCTGACTGCTTGGAAATCAACTAAAATGCAATCATCCGGTTCTGAATTAGACACATCTTTGTAGTGGAATAGAATGTTATTGTTCCACAAATCTCTATGGCAGATTACACAGCGCTGATTACTAGAATCACTAAGTTTTAATGCTGCTTGCCAAACTTCTCTCCACCGTTTATCTAATTTATCCATCACTTGAATATCTTTGTTATATTTAGAATACCTTTTAACCGCTTCCAAAGCTCCTGTCATACATTGATAGTACCATGCATCTGATATTTTGTATCCTCCTCGATTTAGATAATTTTCAAATTCTTCGTTAATTCGATATTTCCTCATTAATGATTTGCTTTTTCTTTCTTCGTAAATAATGGAAGATGCGTGAAAACGTGCCAGTGTGTATAGAGCTTGTAATGTATGTTCTTCGTCGAATCTTTCGAATTTATTTCTAGTCTGATATCCCTTTGCATTTAAATCATCAAAAACCATTGCTTCGGGAAGAGCTGTTATGAGTGGTGCACTCCAAGACTTCATACCTAAAAATAGTAAAATGTTTGACATTGCTGGTGGTTAAATTGCATAAATACTAGGTTAGTATTTTCTTTACGTGACAAATTTAAGTATTCAGAGATTTAACTTTTAAGTGTATCAAGAGAAATAAAATTATTAAGCTTACCTGATATTTCGATTTGTCGTTTAATAACTTTGTAGAAAAATAATTCTTTATCGAATAATTTCAACTCCTTCACCATATTTGCCTTAGCTTCATTTGTAGTCGATATTGCTTTAATAAAGAAGGAAAGTAATTTTCTCTTTTCCTTTACAAGTAGTTGCACTTTCAGTTTCCAATAATCTGATAAAAATCCTAACATTTTATCACTGGCGTTATGAATTACGTAATTTTCTATAATTGCATTTGTATTTGATAAACAACTTTTTACGATTAATTTAACATCTTGTTCTGTTATAGTTTTTATTGTACACGATGTATCCATTTTATACTATTTCTTAAAAGTAACAGAATTTTTAAAAATAATTTCGGTAGAGCAGTTGTTCCAGTCCGCACTATACATTTGTTCTTTCCGTTGTGAACACAAAACCAAGTTTTAATAATGTTTGCATAATTCTAAGTATGATTAAAATTTTTATCTGCATGTAAATATGCATACAGGAGTTTGTAGTTGTAGCTCACTGGTTGTTCATCTGTCGCTAATTTCCAACATTTGATTCCCGATTACAAACGTCTTGTAGTTCAATGTTGTACTGTTTTATTTCTATATTGTGGTATAATAATGCGATTTCTTATAATATTTGTCAAGGGACTGACTTCCATTACACGGTGTAGTGTAACATGGTACACGGCGAGCATTGAAGCAGTCATAGTGTTACGGGGAAACTAGCGAGCAACGAGCCGTTATGTATTGTTTACCTGTCATATATTAAATGATTACTAATTTAAACAAGATTATTTCCATTGTCTACTACATTGAAAGATAATGTCCTATTACATAAAACAAATATTGTATTTGATAACACTAAAAGTAAACAGCATTGTTAACTAGTAGCGTTACTTTCCTTCAATTATTTGTCTAAAAACATGTGACATGACGACTTCTATTTGAACGAGACAGAACATTAAAAAAAAAACTTTAGATAAATTTGTCAAATAGGTATAAGCATCTGCTTATATCTAGTAATCGTTCTAGAAAGAGTTTTTATTAAATTTTAGAAACACTCATTTAGTGTGCGTTTTGTACTACTTTTGTGTACATTTTTTTTTATATCTAATTATTTGTCACAGTAGTAAAAGATAAACAAAACAAAGCAGTAAAATCAATTATGTTTTAATTAGTAATTCACATTTTTACACCTAATTCTTTAATTATTCTTGGAAATGTAAATATCCCAAACACTAAAACATTCTTACACATTAAATTCTGCGTTTAATTGCCGCACTCGGTTGTTTAAATTAGTTTATGTGCTTAGCGTACATTTATCATTGAGAATTTGAACAAAGGGACTTGTTAAGTGACCTCTCTGAATGCGACAGAAAGACATACAAATAAGATTAAAATCTAAAAACAAAAATTCATGAACATCAAGTAGATAAAAAAATGTATCTATCAGAGATTTCATCGAAAAGTTCTATAACTCGGTTACGATATTCTTCGTCTTGTTTAGCTAAGTATATGAACTCTTCACTTCTTGACACTACGTTCATTTTCTCACAAGTTTCCGGATCCTCAAATGTCCTTTCCCTCATTTCATCGCTCATGGCTATGATAGGCACAATCAACGCCGCTTGTGTAATACCAAACACAATACTTTGTTGATACGATTTTACAATAGTTTTCTTATCAATTACATTCAAAACATCAATACCTTCCAAACGTAATTCATCAGTCAGTAAAGAATAATATAAATCTATTAATTGATCTGTGTTTCGGTCTCTAAAACTTCTAGTTGTATTAAAGTAAATAACAGAAGACAAATCAAGCATAGGAGAAGAATATAAAACTGTTTGATAATCTACAATCAAGGAATGGATCTGACCGTTATCGTGTTTCTTTAAGAAAATATTATTCGTCCAAAGATCGCGATGTATTACAACATTACGACATTCAGTTCTCGGTTTCATTAAATTTGCAGCGCAATCGAATAACATCGGTATTACCACTTCCACGTATTTTATGTAATCGGTCTGTGCTCGATATTTGGAGTATGTTTTTAAAAAATCAACGACCGCTCTTGCCCCAGTGTCCCTCCAAGATTGACCTTTCTCAGGTTCACTAAGATATTCGCTGTATTCCTCCCAAATTCTGTACGTTCTATTCAACTCTTTGGAGTTTTTCTCTTCGTATATTATCGACTGTGCGTGGAACTTCGCCATAGCGTTTATAACAGATACCAGTTCATTGTAATCCATTGTGCTGCGATGATACGGCATTTGGTAACCGAACTCAGTTACATCTTCAAATACAAATAAATCGTTCCTAATGTATAAGAGTTTCGGCCGCCATTTTCTCGATTCTAGAAAATGAAATAAATTTTAATGAATTGTAATCTTATTAATATTATAATTTCAAAAGTTTACATGGTTGTTTGTTAGAAGGTATCTCCGAAACAACTCAACAATGCTAGATGAAATTTAACACAGATGTAGAATTATCTGGAAGAAACCATAGGCTATTTACCAAGTTTATTTTTTAATTTCGTGCGAAGGGTGTCGCGGTCAATGCTAGTAAATAATTAAGCATAACGGTAAAATACCTTCTCCATCTTTGAAATTAATGAATAATTTGCTCAGCATAATATATTCCTTTTGAAAAAACATCAACTCTTTGAGATATTTAGCTTTCCATTTGTTATTCCTTGGCATGCATTTTACAAACAGTTTCAAATCTTTTTCAATTCCATTTGAATTTAAGGTTATGACCAACCGAAGATGCTCTCCGAGATATCCTACTAGTTTGTCAGAATAATCTTCTATGTACCATTTTACAATAGTCGAAGTTCCATAATGTTTAACTATTGATTCTATTTCACTTTGGTTTAATAGTTCCATATTTTAGTATCGTTCTTCTCTCTTGTATTTCACGGAGTGAATTCATATTCAGTACTGATACTATATCACCTGATATAAAGCTAAATGCGAAGGTAAATATTATAATAGTGATATCTAACGGAGGGCCATATTATTTATATCACTCGTGTGTATCAATATTTAGTTTACTGATATCTTTAACTAATAATGCATATTCTCTTAATTTATATATTTTTTTATTATCTAATCAAGTCAAAAACAATAAAACTCTATCATTATCTATTAAGGAATCTACAATACGTAATAGGTGCAAATTAAACTAAAAGGCGATCTCAGTAAATTACTGCGTGTGGCATTTAATTTTTAAGTTTTTAACTGCAAAATAAATATAAGAACTGTGAAAAACAAAAAAAAAAACTTTAAATAATTTTGAATTAATTTATTCAAATATAGTTTGTGAATCGTGTAGATCCAGGAAAGGTTCATTTAATATTTTCCGTAATCTCTTCTCCTTGACTTCTTCGTAATTTGGAGTCCATAATTCTGCTATTTTCGGCGATTGCGATATTTCTAATTTCTTATCGACTTCTTCATCATCACTGGAGACAGCGTCGACCTCCATTTCCTCTATTTCTTCCTCTTCGACAGTTTCAGATTCTCTCTGACCAGATATATGTTCAAGTATCGGTGTACAGAGTAGACTCATCGGAGGCATCATGTGGGGAGCGGCGGACAGGAACTGAAACATTTATATGTTAATTAATACAGAAACTAGAAATAATAAATCTATTTAACGATGTGTATTTAAAAAAAAAAAAAAATTATTTTTTGTTACATAAATGAATAAAAGTGTGTAGTAGTAAATGTCAAATTGTATAGAAGCCGATTTATAAGGTATTTCAAAGACGAAAGAGAAATGTCAACTAGCTATTGCTCGTGGCTTCGTCTCCGTAAAATATAGCCTATGTTATTTACATATAAATTACCTGTATAACAGTGAAAGAGTATTTAAAGCTGACCCAGTAGTTTTTGAGTTATTTCAATACATACAAAAATACAAATCCTCTATACAATATTAGTATGGATTTGCAATGGAACATTTAGGACCTGTTTCACCAAATTATAAAGTGTTTGATAATAATCCAACGTGTAAAATATGTGATGGAAATATTGGTTTTTGTTCGAACAGTGACGTCACTTTTAAGCTATCTGAGGCACTATCAGCCAGTTGTGGGACAGGCCTTCAAACGTAGTTTACCTGTGAGATAACATTCCTGCCGAGGGCGCGCAGGTCGGCCGAGTGCAGCGGTGCGCTGCGCGCCGCCACCTCCGACACGCGGTGGTCGGCGAGCAGCGCGCCGAACATGCTCGCCGGCATGCTGCGCCGCGACAGCGCCTCCAGCCGCCCCTCCTCGCTCTGCGCCGGCTCTACGCAGTAGATCTCCTGGGAAAACGAATATTAAACTTCAAGGTCACTTTTTTTTTAATATTACGAGGTGGCAAACGCGAGTAACCGGCCACTTAAAACCGCCGAAATGGCGTAGCGACCGCTGCCCATAGACATCCGCAATTGCAGATGCGTTGCCTATCCTTAATCGACGGTGGAAGGAGACGCACGTAAAGAGGATATTTCCTCTTCCTATGTGTCTCCTCTACCGTCAAATCTACTTTTCCTTCCCATCCGTCCCTCTTAAGAAAAGGGCGAAAGGGACCAAAATTAGACCTCCGGCACCATACTTATCAGACGAAACGCGGAATTGCTCCCACTTCACGCCTGTTTTCTGTGTGGTCGTGGTATTTCACCGGGCGAGCCACCCCATTTGTGAGAAAATCTTAAAGCATGCTCTACCACTGTTAAATTTTACATGAAAGAGAAGGAACATGTCTAAAGAGTATGAGAGATATATATATGGAAAGTAAGAGGGGGAGAGTGAGGGAGAGAAAGCACTTTCTAGTACATGAAGGGCATAAAAATCAGCGCGTCAGACCAATTTTTTATTTTTCACTAGACATACTAAATTAACATTAAATTTGCTACAAATCAGCCTAGTAGTTTTTGAGTCATTGCAATAAGTACAAAAATACAAATTTTTCCTTAACTTATATTTAAAAGGAAATAAAGTTTTCTTGATCTTACGGAGTTATTCCTCATGAGGTATATCTTGAGCAGGTCCTTGGGCGCGGCGGCGAAGCTGCACTGCCTGAAGACGCCGGAGCGAGGGTCTAACAGCCCTTTGTGCACCATCAGGGGGGTGGAGTTATGCGGCGTGAAGATATACACTGAAATATGAAAATGTTATTGATTGACAAACTTTCTTGAAGGAAAAGATTACTCTAATCTAAAGCAGACTTTGTATTTTACTATTTTTTCGGTTTGTTTCTTTTATTCGCTATAAAAATAGTGTAAGTATAAATTGGAACAATAAGGTTTTCTCTGTCGCTTTGTATTCACTGTTCATTGAAAAGGAATGGCGAAAAAATATTTACTGTCTTCGGATTTATTATGTAAAGTATTAATGTTCATATGATTACAGCCTTATAAATGTTAAATTGTATTCAAATAGTTAGTAGAGGTTACCATCGTTGTTAGCAGTGGTGATCGCCATCCTGTTGGAAGCGGGGTCGGCAGCGAGGCAGGTGGGCTGCAGCGGGACGCACCACTTCATCGTCAGCGACAGCAAGCTCCACACCGCCACGCAGCTGCTCGTCGTGCACACCAACTGCAATACAACTGCACTGTCTCTATGTTTGTCCTGTCTTCCTAAACTATTGCTCACATTTTCATTAAATTTTTATACAAGGCACTCAAGAACACAGAGGTCCAGCACAAAAATATGTTTGAAAAATTTATATCAAATTTAAGTAAAGTTTTCGTTTTCATAATACTAGCTTTCGCCCGCAACTCCGTTCGCGTGCAGTTAAAAATAGGAGTTATTCCAGACTATTCTCTACATCTATGGCAAATTTTATCGAGATCCGTTAAGCAGTTTAGGCTACAAACTAACAAGTATCTATTTGTCTAAACTTTCTCATTTATAATATTAGTAACATTATATTTGTTACTTATAGTATAGATTTCTCAAACTAAAGTCTCCCTTAGTGTCTAATTTATACACTTACATAATGTGCAGCATCATTGCTTCCGAACTGAACTTGTACACCTTTAGGCCGAAGTGCGGGGTGAGTCAATGTAGACCGTAAATTGCACAAATGTGAGTCCCATAATGTCAGCTTGCAGCCGAACCACGCTGCGATTAATGACCCATCCTGTGATATGGCAACACCACCCATACTAAACTCATCATCTTCCTCAACACTATCTACCCCTTTAAATGTAGAGTGCTCTTTGTGTATATTCAATATCCGCCCTATTATATCATCCTTTCGACCAACTTCAGTCAAATAAGGCATAGTCTCCACACGCCCTTTTTCAACATTCTCTCCTATTTTGAAGTTATTAAGCATACTGTGAGATAGAAATTGTGCAGTCCCCGATGAATAATAACAAGTGGTCACACAACTCCAAATTATTATTTTCTTATGTGGTAATATCGTTGTCTCCCTCTTCCAAATCCTTATCTTCTGATCGCTGCCCGCGGATACGCAAAACTGACCTCTAAAGTTGATAGCTAAAGACACAACATTGCATCCACCGTGTGATAGATTAACGCATGTGTTGAGTTTGAACGGTGATGGATTTTTTTTCTGTGCCAACCAGAATTTTAGCTTTTCCTCAGGGTATGTGATGCCATCGTTCCTGTACTCGGAGGTGACGAGCCAAGTGCCGTTTCCACTGACGGTTACACATGTGATCTCCGTCTCCAGTGGAATGAGGTTCTTTCTTTCGGATGGTGTACTATTAATTTCCGTTATATCAATCTGTTGAAAAGTTAAACACTTTGTAACCTCCATGTCTATTTAATTTTATGAAATTGATATAAAATCTAGACATAAAAGTTCTATGACTGCAGAGAGAGAGAGAAAGAAAGAGAGAGAGAGAGAGAGAGAGAGAGAGAGAGAGTTTACGTAATGTATTGTTTATAAATATTTCATAGGTAGAATATTACATGGAAAATGTGATTCAGGGTTTATTTTATACAATTAAATTAAAAACAGACTTTCAAGTAAAATTTTGAAAAAACAGCTTCAAAATAATTTTTTGATAATTAGATTTTGTAATATGAAAAATATCCAATTCAACAAATACTTACATTATAAAGCACTTTATCAGATGCAGTGGAGTACAACTGCAAATGTCCAGTTCTGCCACTCATCAGCAATGCGTCTAACGGTCGGTGATACACCAGCGCTGTGTTGATGGCGCGCGCCACTGGAGACAGTCCTCCACACTCCAGTACAGTGGACAGCACACGTAATTGAGCACTCGCTATCACAACCGCTGCAACCAAATACAACAAGGTAAGTACGTAATAATTAGGTAATATACTATCAGATCGGAATAGCACATTCTACACCTCCAAGCCTTCTGTCTTTAATAGCCTTGAAGAATTTGTTTAATTTATATCATAAGGTTGGAAATTAGCAAGCTATCACCATATTTCGCCGAAATAGCGAATACGAAACTTAGCTATTAACAATTGCAGATGCCTAATTTAAACAATAGACAAAGGGATGATAAAGATAATCGGATATTTTCCTCTTCGAAAGGAAGATCTAACTTAAGTATACATAATAATTTATGATTTCAATTATACTTACAATTGTTAGTCAAAGTGAGTGCAATGTGAGAGCTATTGGCTGTGATAAATCTTATCATGCCTGGAAGTCGAGGTATGAAGATCTTCTCATTTGCTTTGTTAGCCAAATGGCCCAATGTCCATTTCACTAACACCTTCTCCATACCACCAGACATTAAGTAATTTCCTGAAGAGACACAATAAACTTACTAATGTTATAAATGCGAAAGTTTAGATGGATGGATTGCTAGAAAGTATCTCCAAAAAGGCTTAATAGCTCTTGATGAAATTAGGCACAGATGTTGAACATAGTCATAGATTACTTATGCCACCTTCTAAGTTTTTTTATCCCTTGCGGATAATGTTGCAGGCAAAAGTTAGTAGTGTGAAGCATACAAAATGTCTTACTACTGAATTCTCCTGTTATTTATTTCCATAACTTAAAAGATAAAATCAACTTGCATATGAATAATTTAAATTGTAGCGATGTATCTGGCATGCAGAAAATAAAGAATTATTACCATACGAGTCTTTAAAATCATAGCAATAGTTAACACTTTTCAAACATTTTTTGTGATAACTGTAAGGAAAATTGTCCTTTTTTTTAGCAACTTACACTTTGGTACATTCTTAATAACATTATTTGACTTCAATATGTGTTAAATTCCTATCAATATTTTATCATTTAAGAATTTTAAATTGAAACTACAACTTTAAATTCTAATCTTACTAATATTATAAATGTGAAAGTTTAGATGGATGGAACAATGTTTGTTAGAGTTTGTAGCCTAAACGGCTGAACCAATTTTGATGAAATTTAATATGAATTTTTTTTAATCCCACGCGGACAGGGTCGCGGGCGAAAGCTAGTCAGGAATATAATATTTAAACCTTTAGAATTTACTTACCTTGAACTGAAAAACACACAGCAAGTGGAGGTAGGAAATGCCAATGCAAAACTTCCCTAGCAACATTCCTGTAGTCGTATAAATTCCCTCTGAATAGAGTAACACGTCCAAATGCATCTGTTACTGCGATTGCATTTTCACTGTGGTGCGCTGCTACTGATAATATCCTAAATTTATTGTGATTTACAATTCTGGAAAAAAATAATGTCAATGATCAATTATCTTATTTTTTAAACTAGCTGTTCCCGTGCGACTTCCTCCACAAAATATTATGAAAGTTTTATTTTATTGTTTACATGTCAAATTATCAATTGCAAATGTTAAAATGACATGACATGATGACAAACCATGGCCACCTTATTTTCTTGATGTTGGCAGCTGGTAGTTTATGGTCCCTTTCCCACATGAAGGTTTCTTTTCCAATTTTGCCACAAAGTAGTGTGTGTATATGCTTTATTACATTAATATAGATAAACAAGTACATTTTTAGAAATCGTTGAAATTAATAAAAATGTGACTTACTCAGTTTTAACATGTGGTTGATATAAATTTTGTATGTAAACCCTTGCTGTACCATTTATAATAGCTGCAAATCTATCACCATAGCACCAGCCGACTGCGACTCTTACAATATTGTAATAAATTGGACTGGTCTCCATGTATTCATGAACAATACATCCAGTCTTCACCGAGTAGGTGGCAAGATAAAGATTCCTATTATATGGTCTAAATGCTGTGATAAAACATTCATTACTATCAAGTAAATCAAATGTCATAATTTTCATTTCATCTGGAAGTTGAAGATTCTGCAAGAGATATACAATATTAAAATTTATCGCTATTTAAAAATGTAATTCTAGTTAAAAAAAAATATTAGACTTGCCTGTTAGTCAGGACAAAAACATGGACCAAAGACAAAATTAAAAAATAAATATTTTAATGCCTATTTAATATTCCTGTATTTCATTAATAAAATGGTGCAGTAAACGTAAACTTACAATTTCCCTTAGCACAGCACCATTCTCCCAAGTCCAAGTCGTAACGCAGCCAGATTCAGAACATCCATATAAATTGTATTCTTCATTATCCGGGAATTGTACAGCCACTAGCTCTTTGACAGGGGTTTCAGTTTCTAGTGTACGAGAACAGTCCCCTGTTTGTATATTGTAAACTCTTACTATATTTTCTACGATCAACAATACAGACCTGAAAATGTAAATTAAAATTAGCTTCTATAGAAGGCTACAAAACTTTTTGAGAATTATTTCAGAATTGTTGATGTTTACATACTCGCCATCTGGTGAAAACACGGGCCGACGCTCTATAATACTTCTGCCAGCCTTTCTACTGAATACATAATTGCTATCTGGTTTATCCTCATTATTAGGCTTCACCCCCATTATGAATTATATTTAAAATATAAGCACATTGAAACTTAAAAACATTTGAAAATATGATTGTGACACTGACACATAACCTAAACTTGTCTCCAGTGAATGACAAAGATTAGGTCGTTATATGTCAAACAGTTTTTCTTAATTCAAACATATGAAAATTAAATTATACGTCGTTTTACATTTTAAGTCGAAAATTGTAATAAAAAATGCTTCAAGCGTAAACTAGATTTAAAGATATGGATAGCTTGTGAAAAAATCTATCAAAACATATCTAGGTGTTTTTTAATCTCTGATAGAAATGTCAATTTGAAATTGTCAAATTACTAATGTCACTTGTCAATTTACATCGGTCTCCTCTCCTTGCTTGTTGTGGTTATACATGCAAAATTTTTAAATATAACAAATAGAAGTTGTAGCTTTTGGACAATTTACAGAAAAACGGTTAAAAACAATAATTACAATGGCTACAGACCAAGGTGAAGTTCAGTTGCAAGTTCGGTTTGTTACAAAACAGGAACAGTAAGTATAACTATGATTCCGGCGTGTTTGTTTTCACATTACACGTGCGTTACTTTTCTTATAATATTTTCTTTGAATTACAGATATGCGGTACCGGACAGTCCTTACGCAATACAAAGTAATGTTCAGGCAGCAGAACTAAACACATTGGTAAATGCAGTTTTAAAAGAGACCAAACCTTTGATTCAAAAAGCTGTTGAATTTGATTTTCTGGTATGTGGCGAATTACTGTGTTCATCTATAGCAGAACATTTGCAAGAAAAAGGAATATCGACCGAAGATACTTTAGAAATAGAATACCTTGAAAGATTTCCCGCCCCTAAACCTCAAGAATGCTTAATGCATGATGATTGGGTATCATCAGTCCACACACATGATAGTTGGTATGTAATTTTTTTCATTAGAAAATAGATTTGTAGACATCTAAATAACTTTTTTTTATTTTCATAGAAATGTACTATCTTTGCATTATTAATTAACAAATATTTTAACATGTGATTTTATAATGTTTAAATATTAACTAATTTCAGGATTCTCTCAGGCTGTTATGACAATAGCATCCATATTTGGACTACAAAAGGTCAACATAAGCTGGCCATTCCAGGACACACTTCACCTGTTAAGGGTGTTTCATGGATCTCCATTGAGGGTGACCAAGCTAGTTTTGCAAGGTAATCAAATTCTAATTATTTAACAATACAAATCCTATTATTTAATATGCATTTGGCTATTGACACTTCCTGAATATGATTACTGGTTTATTTTCTATTTAATTTACAGTTTTTATTTTTTATTTTTCAGTTGTTCACATGACCAGTCAGCTATGCTCTGGGTATGGAATGTGCCACGGAATTCCGTTGACTGTGTGGTCACTTGTCGAGGACATGATAAAGGACTGGAATGTATTGCAGTCGCTGTTGATGGAAAACACTTTGCTACTGGCAGCTGGGATAATAATATCTGCTTATGGAGTGCTAGTAAGTCTTAGTGATATATTATACTAGCTTTCGCCCATGTCTGTAGGGAATTAAAAAAAAAAACAAAAGTAGCCTATAGACTCTATATCTTACTAATATTATAAATGCGAAAGTTTAGATGGATGGATGGATGTTTGTTACACCTTGTAGCCTAAACAACTGAACAGATCTCAATGAAATTTGGCATAGATGTAGAGGATAGTCTGGCAGAACACATAGGCTACTTTTGTTTTTTTTTTAAATTTCATGCGGACAGAGTCGCGGGCGAAAGCTAGTCTATATCTAATTTCATTGAAATCCATTTAGCCATTTAGGCTACAAACATCCATTCATCTAAACTTTCACATTTATAATATTAGTAAGGCAGAATTTATTTAATGCTATATTTTAATTGAATTTGCAAAGGGTAATTTTTTAAACAAGTTTATAAATAAGTTGTTGCTTCTAGGTTTGACAGATGAAGATAATGTGCCTGCCAAAAAGAGAAGTAAGCCTGAGCAAGGAAATTCCAGAGTAAGAAAATCCAGTATACTTTGATAAAATTAATTATTTAATGTCAAATCTTGAGTACATTAGAAACTTGTAATAATTTTACTAATTTTCCAAATTATAATTACACTATGTTAGTCTTCAGGTGTCTAAATTAAATTTTTTTATTTGGGAATTTAAAATAATTCTAGTTTGAAAGCCAACATCGACAACTGATTTTAAAGAAGTGTTAGAATGCGCACATGACTTCGACTAAACTTTCGCACAACTGTTTAGTCGCCCTTTGATTTCTATGAGCTTATATGAAGGTACACTACTCTATTTTTAGTTGTGCAACTAAACAGTTGACAATCGTTGTGCGATTATTTAGTTAAAGGTGTGCGCCTTTTACTTTTCCTATGGGATAAATTGACACATGAGATTACAAAAAGGGACTTATATTAAAATTTTATTAATCTGAATTTTATCTAGACACCGAAGTCAACACTGAAGGGTCACAGGGAAGCAGTGTCTGCAGTCAAGTGGGTGGACTACAACACACTGCTGTCGAGCAGCTGGGACCATCTGCTCAAACTGTGGGACTGTGAACTTGGAGGAATTAAACAAGAGATTGCTGGTAAGTTTAATAATCTGAATTGCCATGATTTAAAATATATATCATTTTTTTATTTAATACTTGCTCGCGACTTCGCCGACGTGAAATAAAAAAACAATGCAAAACTCTTAATGGTAAAAGAATTTTTGAAATTGGCCCTGTAGTTTTTGAGTTATTTCAACAAGACCATTTTAAATTTATATGCTTTCAGGTAACAAAGCGTTCTTTGACGCTGATTGGTCGCCGTTAAATAATAGCATCGTCACAGCTTCCGCTGACAGACATGTCAGGATATATGATCCAAGATCTACGGGTAAATATTCTGATTACTTAAATTACTTTTATTTGGAATACATACTACTTAGTATAAAAATTATTTCATACAATTCTATATCTGTGTATAATTTGTAACAGAAAGTATTGTGAAAACAACATTCACATCTCACACGGGCTGGGTGCAGTCTGTGCGCTGGTCCACCACCAGGGACACGCTCTTCCTCTCCGCAGGGTACGATGGACAGGTCAAACTCTGGGAGACCAGGAGGTTAGTATTTACATATTTTATACTAAGAAACTGTGTCTTTTATACTATAAGTTGGATAAAAGCATTTCGCCAAAATAGCGTAGTGACTGCTACTCAAGATATAGTATACTATACTAAGAATATAATTTGCCTATCTTTAATTGACAGAGGACGGGATAACCAGAAAGAGGATATTCTCCCTTTTTATAGGTCCTCTCCGCTAAATCTAACTCTTCCCATACCTTCCTTAGTGTAGAGGAAAATTGTTTAAGTAAAAAAATCCACTTCCTCTCCTAGTTTTTAAACTATAAATTAAAATTGTGCCATCAATTATTGACACTGAGTAATTGAATAACTGATTAATGTTTCTGAGTATGGTGGTATTGATAGATTATTTCTCTTTCAGTCCAAGAACACCGCTGTATGACCTAACAGGTCATGAAGACAAAGTGCTGTGCTGTGATTGGTCCAACCCGGCGCTGCTCGTCAGTGGCTCCTGTGATAATACTGTTAGAATATTCAAAGCAAAACATGCAACGGCTTCCGCATGATAGATAAGTGTTATAACCGTGATGTTGATGTAGCACTTGTATTGATATTGTTGTCTCTGTTTATTCAATGACAATGAGAGAGATGACTTTATGTTTCACAAGTGTTGCTTCAGTCGGGTTATTGTGAAGTGCGGGACATTGATTATGTGAAGTGTTGGATATGTGGGTAGTTGCAAAAGTGTCAATTTTATTGTTTATAATTTAGTTTTATTTCGGAATCTGTAATATTCTTGAAATAAAGTAAGGTTATGTTCTGCATTTTAAATTACTACGTGTGCTTTTTAAATTATATCTTTTATATTTCATAACTGTGTTGTTTATTATATTCTACTGATTTTCAAGTAAAAGTTTGTGTATTTTGGGGTTTTTTTTTTTTTTTAAGTAATTCTTACATATCAACCTACTTCTGTCCTAATGAGAGAATTTTGATTGTACATACAAAATACAAATCTTTTTTTTTAATAGTACGAGTGGTAATAGGTTGTTTTTAAATGAAAAGACAGCATTTGGTTTTGCTTGTTTTATTTCAATCATTTGCTCTTACAAAATATGTTCAATGCAAAGGAACATGACTCGTCACAATAAAACATGCTTCTTAGTACCATTTTGTTTTTATTTATATATTACTTTAGTTTTTCCATTCAGCATAACTATAAATAATGCGGGTCACGTAAAATGCTCATAGCACTATATAGAAACTTGCAAACACTTTGTAACAAAATAGATACATAACTTTCCTCTATGTGTTTCTCTGAGAGAAATGCTTTACACTATTATCATAGTTATGCCAAACCCCACGTCATAACACAACGAAGCAACATGTCCCTTAAAAATATTCTTTCTTACCAACAATTTCATTTCATTTTTTTTTACATTTTATGAAGTTTTATGTTTTTGCATTTCGTATTCCTAGGCTACCTAACTAAATTTTTACCTATTCTAAACTACGATCTAGACTAGTCTGCCGGGTAGAACGCCACCCTTTAATAATACACATTGGACAAATACAATCGTATCGACACTTCCGACAGTTTTTTTCAATTAATTTTCTTTCTTTACACTTATTCAACTACATAACAAAAGAGGTGAAAGCAAACTCGTCCAACTGAAACTTATCGCAAGAATGTGTTGACACTAATTCTCTTAGACTTGCTTAGGAGCTAGGGCGAGGCCGGCGCGGGCGCGCTCGCGGGGCGCGGCTTCAGTCCATTCAAATTAAATTATTTAATAAACTAACAAAGGAAACTACCCTAGAGCCGGCGGCGGCGCGCGCGCCCCGACCACCCGCCTAATATATTATTCTACGTCACTATTCTATTTATCTTAGCGTCGAAACATTTTTTTTAGTATTCTAACCTACCTATGTTATCCCTAAGACCTAACCTAGCCATCGATTCGTCAACATTCCTATTAATCCAAAATTCATTTCCAAAACGACCTGCACGTTCACTTATAACATATGACTTAATTTAAACATTTACTTAACACTTAAACTCATCGACATGATTTTTAATTTCGAATTATTTTGGTTTTATAATGAATCGGTTTCCCAATATGCATTTTGTGCTCTCGATCTGCGGATATTTAATTTTGCGTCTCGCAAGGCAGATGGCCTCCGTACAGGAGTTTATATTGCACATGTCAAGAATGTCGAAGTGAGTTTTACTAGGAACATCTGCAACTTTATTTTCAATTTAATTTTTAAAATCATGTGTGAAAAATGCAACGATTAGACAGCCACATTATCTCATTAAGTTGTTACTACAAAATAGTTTTATAATTAATTCTACTTTGTTACGAACACGGTAAGTTACTCTATCACCAGTAAAAATATCGTGTAAAGCACTCGCAGCGGCTATACAGTATGTATCCGACATCGGTCACCAAACGAAGCCGAAGGCACTACGATCAAATCAATTTTATTGCTCATAATGGAAGGAAAGCATTAGAAAAATAATATATCGCCGCATCTCGCCTTGACGGTGACATCACTTACACGCTACGCTACGGGCGCGACTCGCTTTCTACGCTACGAGTTGCTTCAAATAAATCACCTTCAATACATTTCACAGTTACTCGGTAATTAGGGGAAATTGTATCGACTTTGGAATGAAAATAATTCGTTTACACTAATATAAATTTAAGACAAAATAGTTTGGTATATTCTATGGATGTTTACGAACGATTGTTAGAGAATAGGAGCACATTTACACATTTTGTATAATAATATTATGTATATTTGTAAAATTATAATTCGAATTTATAATATTTTGACATCGATCATAAACAAAAATATTAGCGGAAATATCTATCGGAAGACTGCTTTGACAGGAAGCCACAGTGTCGTTGAACACTAAATGATCAAGTCACCTAACTAAGCACCAAACGTGGTCGTCGATGCTACACGCAGTAGACAATTGTCACAAGATGTAAAGGCGGTTTTCTATACAGTATACTAAATTTGGCTCGATCCAGATTTATACGAATATAAAACTGATCTACAGGTGTTCCTTCGAATTAACTCTAAAAAAAAAATCTCACTTTTCATTATTATAGGGGACGTAAGTCGCAAGAGTAGTCGGTTACCGCCTGTCCACAAACACTTTAGCAATTGCCTTTTTAAATAATGACGCCTTTACATTAAAATAAAATTCATTTTTATATTAAAAGTGAATGTTGTTTTGTAAAAGTGAGAAGCTACGCTGTATAAAAGTAAAATTCATATACAGTAAATTTTAAGCATATTTATGATGTAAAACCAAACATAAACAGATCTACAAGATTGTTCAAAATTCTACGTTTTTCAAAACCTGCTATAAGCTAATCTCAGTTCCTGTATTTTTATTAAATCGGTCCACAGGTTTTGAATAAAGTCAGTTAAAATACAGTTAATATATCAAACATTTACCTAGTCTTCAGTCCCTGAGTTGTATAAATATTTTCCTACATCTTACTCGACTTTAATGATTTGTATACTTTGGTTCTGATGAATTCTCGACGTGCCAAAATAGAATTAAACAGTTGCGATATAGCGGGTCCCGTTCGTACCCATCAACAATGTGTATACATGTATACATATCCATGTATAATTTATACATATATATTCAATATAAAAATATCAAATTTTATATAAAGTCATAAAGTGTACCCAAAACCTACGTGATGGTACAAAATGTGCTCGATTTTGCCAAAATTGGCGTTCACTGTACGGATTTCGAATCCCTCACAACTCATAATGTGGAAATCAATCGTGGAATTTTTTTTGTTCGAAGTTCTCTAGTGGAATGTGCCGACCGCCTAAACATAACAACTACGGTTTTGATTCAGTACATGATTCTCAAAAAAGTATCACCTCATTATTCAAGTATTTCGAGCATGAGTTTCGTTACAAAAATTTGTATAGACTCGTAAAATGTATAAATAGAAGTTAAATAAAGGCTTATTGCTAGATGTCAGCGCATGTTCCGCGTCGCTGGCCACTGGCCACTAGCCACTGGCCTCTAACCTTATTGCCGTTGGCCACTGGCCACTAGCCGCGTGGGGACCTTTGTTCGCGAGACGCCTTTACGGCCTCTTTAAGAGCTGCAATTAATGTCGATTATATTTTTTAACGTTTAAACACGGATCAAGAAATAACTTATTGGAAGTTTACGGTATACAATTCAGTCTGACGGGTTTGGCAACGACGTTATCGATTAGGAAATACACTATTATCCTTCAGTAAATATTTATAGAACATAAATCTTGAAGAAGCCTCTAATATTGAACTCGACGTAGCGACGTGGCTAAGCTACGCGTAAAACGGAGTTGTGAAATCGTGAAAATGCGTAAAAACTTTGCGTGTTTATTGTCGAGCAGATAGCAAAAAGTTTTCTTTCATTCTTAAGACTCAAGCGGCTAGGGTTTTCGGCACTTGAAAACCGAAATTTTTAACTCCCGCAAAATAATAAATACGAACAATGAAATGCTTTAAAATTAGGTACCCGCGATCCTTGGAAGACTGCGTAAGGGACCAAAATTTTTAACGTAGGTAATACTGTTCCTCGATATAGAACCTTTTCCAAACAAATAAGCACCATGCCAAACTTCTTTGGACGTACAAACATTCAGTTCCATCCATAACAACGTTGTGGCTCAAATATCGACCGTCGCTAACACGTTTCGCGACCAAATTCATTTTGTTTATAATCTGCCGTTCTAACTATAACGCGATAAAACCAACTTTCTTTTGTATTTTAAAAATACTTACATCTCAACTGAAGATTCTAAATCTTCTTAATAAATTTTACGCACAAGTTCTAATCGGTATCTTTATCATTCCTAACCATAACACACATAAGTCGTTTCCTTTACAATTTCATTGGTATAAACTTTTTTTTATCATGATATGACCATTTCAAAAATCTTTCCATCCCCACCGCTCCTGATATTGCTCATTCTATTCCTGCAAAATGCCAGGAAACTACAACTTTATAAAACTTTACATTCCAATACTTCGATCATATAAAACTCATCCCTTTTTACAAGATTAGAAATTAAGATTGCACGGTTTGTTCATTATAAAGATGTGATGTATTCATTATGCGATTAAAAATCCCCGTTATCCTACAATATATGACACTGAATCAAAAATAAAAATGTATATTCCCGTTCGAGGACAAGTTTCAATAAAAAAATCAATCGAGAAATTATACTATGCTAAAATAAATACCTAACTATCTTAAATAATCTTGTCAACGTGTTCAAAACCTGCACCTAAAATCTTATATTTAAAATTTTTCCATAAAACAATAATAAAATTAAAATGTCAAAACACATTTAAAATTGCAGCTATAACCTATACATCAAATCCTCTCCTCGAACCGTCACAAGACCTCATCAAAACATCACAGCGCATGCGCGGCCGGTGCGGGGTCGCTGCTGGCCGGCGCGGGGCTGGTACTGGCCGGCGCGGGGTCGGCGCGGGGCCGGTGCGGGCGAGACAATAAATAGTGAACAGGCGACGAGAGACCGGGCGGAGCTTTCGATGAAGTCTACAACGGCCGCAAATTAAAACTAAAACAAATTAACATCGTAAAAAGTCACAGTTGCTTTGATTTTTGGCTCGTGTACAGCATGGGTAGTGGCGTGCGGCGCCGCGGGGCGCTGCGGGCGCTGCGGGCGCTGCGGGCGCTGCAAGGCGCGGCGTCTACTTGGCCGGGTAGGGCTGGTACGCCTCGTCCGGCGACGCCGCGGTCGACGCCTGCTCGCTCTCCATCGGCATCTGGATGATGGGCGGCGTCGGGCCCGCGAAGAACTGGTACGGCGGCGACGGGAAGTACTGAAACACAACGAAAATTGACATATACTCTCCGCCTTTTTCAATACGAAACCCAAAAGCGAAGAACATCTAAACGGTGATTATGGGCGAAGCAATAAGACTATATTATCGATTACAATGAAGAGCGTTTGTGTTTGCAATTTAATATGAACACTCACGTATAATTCATTTTCCGGCCTTAGGCTGTCCCAGTTTACCTGGAAAAGGAAAATAATTCAGTCGTTTTGTTCATGTTTTTATTTTGACTGAATATTCCTCCGTCGTAATCGACGCCAGCCGGTTGTGCCTGCGACTCCTTTCTATAGTCTGAGCGGCGATAGAATAGGTGTCATTTCTTCTACTAAATTAATAAAAATAAGTTATGACGTCATAAGATTTACAAACTTCATAACCATGGTACTAAACCTGCCATTTAATTATTGGTAATTAAATGTAAAAATGCAGATAAAGTACTAAACATATTGTATATTATTTAATAGTAATTGTTGTAAGTACTCACGTATTGGCTGGGCACGGAGTCGATGGGCAGGTGCGCGGGGTGCGCAGCGTGCGCGGGGTGCGAGGGGTGCGCGGCGTGCGGGGCGTGCGCGGGGTGCGCCGCGTGTGTGGGGTGCGCATGGGGGTGCGCGGGTGGCAGCAGCGCGGCGTAGGGCAGCCAGGCGGCGGGGTGCGGGTGGTGCAGCTGCGGGTGGTACGCGAGGCCGTAGACGCCGGCGCCGCGGTACACGCCGCCGCACTCCGCCGCGTTGCCCGCCGCCACGCCGCCCGCGTACACGCCGCTCACGCTCATCGCCTGGAACCACACCGTCTGCTCAACGTCTCCACGCGTCCTTCATCACTGACAACCATACTACTAATACCACAGATTTCACCAAGTTCACACACTTTATACAGGGTGTTCTTCAACCGGAACGTACAGACGACGGAAGGCTACCAATTCCACATTATGAAAATATGGCTGACCTCACTTGAAAGTTAGCAACATTGAATATTGAATATAAGATGTAATGTCGCTCTTCCTGTTTTAATCTGTTTTAGTCTTGCGTTGTACACTTCAATCCTTACACCCTGTATATAGTATGTACAAGGACACTCATTGTATGATATTTAACAAAATCAGTGATAGGAAAGACTCATGCCAATGCAAGAATTCTTAATTTGCACCAGCACAGTCAACAAAACAAAACATAAATAAGAAAGAATAGAAATAATGGATGGTACAAATAACTTGCAAAATAAAATTCTTAGGTCTTCGGTTCAATCCTAAAATAAAAAAAAAACATATATTACAAACTGAAAAGAAAAACAAGGTGGTACAAGATACGTAAAATCAACTTTAAAATGTAAAAAAAAATAAAAACACAGAATGAATGAACAAATATATGAGAGTACATAATACTAGATATATGTAATCTTAACCTTTTTATGGAGCAATGGATTTCCTAATTATTAATAAACCCAATCCGTTTTACTTCTTTTATCGAACCATTGTCACTTAAATACTAAGTGGATGAACTATTGGATATTTTGTACTGTAAGCTGTTATAGACTGTTAAGTCGCTTCTATATGCAAAAAAATATGTACAACAAATGTCCAAACATACATTTATAATCTTACCAATCTCAGATGGATGGATAGATGTTTGTTAGAGTTTGTAGCCTAAACTGCGGTATGGATCTCGATGAAATCGGTCTAGGTGTAGAACATAGTCCAGAAGAACACATAGGCTACTTATTTTTGTTTTTTCAATACCACGCGGACAGAGTCGCCGGCAAAAGCTAGTGTTTCAATAAATTAACCGCCTCATATTGATAAGCCTATCAGTATTAAACAGCCAGTACTTGTAAGCGAAGCTCTTTCTATATGTTCTATATAGTAAATTGATTATAGTAGTACCTGAGTAATGGATTCATTGTTGTCCCGCCACATTCGGCCGCCGTTGTCGTTCTGCTTGTAGAGTGACTTCTTCTTGCTGCCGCCGTCAGCGAACTTCACAAGCAGCGGCTCCTTGGCCCCCGGTATCGAGTTGCCATTAAACATCTGAAATATAAACAAAATTACTGCTTTTATCTGAAAAGTAACTAAACACAAACAAAAGATATAAACCGTACTATCTAGAGCCCGTCATACTAATGTTATAAATGCGAAAGTTTAAATGGATGGTTGTTTGTTAGAGTTTGTAGCCTAACCTGATCTTTATAAAATTTGGCATAGATTTAGAGGGTAGTCTGGAAGGGCACATAGGTTACTTACTTTTGTTTTTTTTTTTAAGTTCACGCGGACGAAAGCTAGTAAATCATAAATAATCATGGATTCAGCTGCTACCACTACCCTCTTTCTGATCATGTTCATGATGTTAGGTTAGTTTATAATTATTAGGTTCTGTATCTGAATACTGCTAGAAAGTAGATGTTCGAAATAAGATTACTTTTCTTGTGGTGTTAAATTCGCTGATATTTTTGAATAAACGTGTTCGTTTACCTGAATGATCTGCTCGCATTTTTCGCGCGATTCCATTCTTGCAAAACCAACGCCCTTGCTATGGCCGTGCGTATCGCGTAGTATGCGCGTCGACACCACCTGCCCGAACTTGGCGAGCAGTTGGTCCACATCGTTCTCCTTGAAGTGTGGCGGCAGGTTGGCCATGTAAAGGTTGGTCGGGTCCTGCTCCTGTTGCTGCGAACGCATCACAACGCACAGATCAAGTACTTGCTCGGATAGTTCAATGCTTTTGATGATATTTGAATTTAAATTTGGAATTCGAATTTGAAATTTGAGTGTGATTAAAAAAGTGTCATTAAAATGGAATCAATATCTGTGTATGAAAGTATGAAATGTTTTTTTTTTTGTAAATTTTAAGGACGTTACAGAAGTAAACTTTGAATTAAAGAAGCTAAGTTATTTAGTAATCATAATTAACGCTTTAACAAAGGAATGAAAGGCTGTCTCAGAATACGTATATTGACATTAGCTCAAAGCCCGCATAGATAATCTAGACACTGAAGCCAACTCGGACAATTTGTAAATCAGCGGTTAGGATCTAATACGCTATAATATATTAAGTATTATATTTAGTAATGTTATTAACGACATTTGAATATATCAGCATATAGAGATTATGAAGCTGGTTAAATCGCATACACACTATTTAATATTGAAAGCATAGAAATACCCAGAGCCCAGTAGCGATAGTACATTGTTATGACGCTAAAGCAAACGATATACAGACGACAGGATGGACATGTCTCAAGTAAGTTAGGTAAGCGTTATGTCGGCGCCGAGCGAACCACTGACAGGATAGCTAATACTTACAACGAACTAGTCTCTCGCCGTACGGACGTACGAACGCGCGAAACTATCGCTTGTCACGGTACCCCAAACACAAACTGACGTATCGATTATAGAAATTGATGCGTGTGTACTGGCGTTACAACTGGACCTACGGAATCTAATCAAGATAAGCCTGCACTAGGCTATAGAATATAAAAAATCTTTATATTTTATCATGAATGGAAAGTATTTATCAAGTAGATTTGTTTGTTCATTGTGTTGATTCTAGCAGTAAATAGAATATATTGTTTATGTTTGTTTAAAGTTCAAATATTACGGCCATATGATTAATAGTATTTTTTTAAAACTATAGCTATATGTAATGGTAGATGGAATATGGGAATGGATTGGGATTCACTTCACTAAATCATTGTTTTCCACAATTTTTTTTACTATTGTAAGAAGTATTGAAAAATAACAATTGACTGCCATTTTAAACCCAAAGTGTTTATTTAGGTAGTATCGTGCTAGAGAATCCTTGTTTCAATATAACACGAAATATAGTGCTATTAAAAGATGTAATTTGTCGTAGTATTTTTACTTTTAATACATACGTCATTGAGTTGATTTTCCTCTGAAACAGTTGCTGACAGCGTATATGTAAAAGAATCGATTCTGTAATGTCGGTACCAATGTAGTTGGATGAGAGCGGGTTAGGATGAGGCGGTTAGTCATAATAGTATTACTTGCATGCACAACGTACACGGTTCAGTCTACGCAGGAACCAGATACCCACTTTAGCCATCTGGGCCTGAACACCTTTTGCTTGTAATCCTTTTACCGCCGCTTCCGCCGACGCGATCGTTTCGAAATCTACAAAACCATACCCTGCGGAGATAAAAGTTAAAACATTTTATAATGAAATGACCTCATTACGTTCGACAAATTTAAAATCACATGCTTATAATAGAGGACATCTAAGAATTGAAAACATATAAAATATCTATGAAACATTATAAACTAGTGACACAAACATACCTACTTGCCTACACAAAGTAGCAGGATGACAGATAGTATGAACGCGGAAGGTTCGCATCGAACACATCGATAGATGCGAGCGTGCCATCTTTGTTAAGTTAAATTTAGAAATTTATCTGTGCTTTGGTGCATAAAGTGTGGATGACGCTACGAAAACAATACGTGAAAATCAACATATCATGATTTATATATTTTTATATGAAGAAAGGTAAACATGAATAAATCGAATCTAGAATCGTGCATATATTGGAAAAAAATTCTCACCATAGATGGATTATTTTAATGAAGATATATGGTATTCTAGAAAATATTAACATTAGTTACGAATTAAATCTTTCAATGCAAAATATATTGAAACATTAACATTTTAGATATCATATATTATACGTTACATACATACGTGAATCTATGCACTGATAAGGTAGGTTCAACTAGAAGTAACATATATTATGTAGATACAGGATATACAAATTAACTATGATAGTGTTAGTAAGGGATAGAGTACGTACGAATGTTGTTTACCTTTACATTTATTTGTATTTTTATCCAATATTGCCTTTGTTGAAATTATATTGCCGTACCTGAAAAAAAAGAACAAAATATTTAGACGTCAGCAAATAAATCACAATATTTAATGTTCTACAAGTCATTGCAACAGTACAGCAGTCTTTTATTAACAGAGAAAGAAGGATAAGTTGACTTACATCTGGCACATCTGGACAAGGTCCTTATCGGTGGTATTCTGGCCGAGGCCTCGTATGTAGAGGTTGGTGCGGCTAAGCTGGTCGCCTGGTGCGCCTGTGGACGCCGAGCTGGCGGGCGGCGGACCCGTGCTAAGGCTGGTGGACCGCGTGCCGCCAGCAGAGCCCGTGTTGGACGATGATGACGACGCCGTGTTGGCAGGCGACGCCGCGGTGGGCACCCGCGTACCCCCGCCACCGCAACCACCGCTCATTGCCCCCGTGTACTGAAAAACAACAAATTACAAATTGTAGATTACTGTTAACTGGATTTTATAGATACATTTTTACACTCTTTTTACATAGACCAAACATGTTTCATAATTTCATCAAATTATTTTTTAATTTTAGCTAAAATTATAACATATATGGTAGCTATGGTACTCACAGATAAATTACCTTTCTAATGATGCAATACATTTTTAATCGCCCCAATAGTGTATGAGGCATATCAATCCATACAAAAATACAAATCTTTCCTCTGTATAATATTAGTAGTAGATAATGCATTTGTTTGATAATGTTACGGGTTTTGTTTTTTACTGTAAAACTAAAAATTACAAATCAAACATAAATAAAATTTTACAACTTCAAATCTGTCTCTCTCTTTTACTACTCTGGCTCGTATAGATTTACTCATGTTATTCGTCTGTCGGACTTGTTTACGAGTGAAATTAACCAGATCAGTAATGTGAACAGGCATTAAGTTTCACTGCAATAAAGACATTAAAAGGACGTCTTTCATATTTTTTGTTCGGCGTTCGGCCGACAGTCGAGAGAAATGAGATGTTCTGCAAAAAACAAGTGGGACTTGCACATTGTGGTTTATTTATTTAACGATTATCATTTCTTAAACAACTTTAGTGTTTACGAAGTACTTTAACTTATTAAGGACATGACTAATGTCCATTTTCTTCTAACTCGGATACTACGGTATCCCCATCCACGATAAAGTAGTGAAATTTTGTGAACAAAGAAACGCAACTTCTGTATGTTACAATAGTAACTACATTAAATAAAAAAATGATTTTTTTCTCGTAACAACTAGTTCTTTTAACTTTTTTCATAAATCTATAAAATCAGATCAAGTGTATCGACGAGTCCAATTTATAGCAGCGTTAAGCGCTTCCGTCCACGGGAACGGGCTTCATTGAAACTAACTGGTGAGACGTGTAAGACGCTACGCCATTAGTTATTTAGCTCGGTAATGAATAGGGTCGGGTAATGAGCGCATGCCGATTCAGAGCACGCCCGGTACAGGCTTGCTTATAAGACATCTTTTTCACTAAACTAATAGTCGTGTGCGACTGCGCCCTTTATCGACGACTGGCGGAACCATTTCTATCAACAAACTCGATCGTTAGAAAATGTACGAATGAACCACTTTTTCCCAGAAACACAATGCGTTTCAAATAGGAATGCCTGAAACCAGACGATATTGTCTGTATTGTACGAAAAATAGGCTCAGTAGAACATGTTTTTTTTAAATGATACAAATTTATTTTAATCTGAATATGTTTTTGATGTGGATTAATAGATCAAAGTCATTGATGCGCAAAAGTTTGTTTATATAAATAATGCGACTAGCCGCACACGATTAGTAGCTTAGTGGAAAAGGAGTTTAAGTGTTTCTTTTTTGATCGCAGTCTGCTGTGGGCAACGGTATGACCAGCACGTGGTTAGCCCCACATTTATGGACCGACAGTTAGTTCCGACTAACGAGTACATCGTAGGTTGAATCGGGAATTGGCCTTCGTCCGGTAAACAACATGAATGCGGATTTAAGAACCACAGAGTAAATAATAATTGAATCTTGAGTGTTTAAAAAAGACAGCAAACGCTGTGTTGTTGATTAAACTAGTATTTGAAATCGATGTTAATGTTAATAAGGTCTATTAAATTCTAAAATCTATTACATATAAAACAATTGGAGTGTCTGCAATATCAAAACGAAAATTCCAGATTTCAGGAAGATGATGTATTTGCGTTGCTAATAACGAAAATCGCATTTTTTTTGGTCTGTCTACCCGCAAGTCGCGTTAGTAATGTCCGAAACGGCTGGGCCGATTTAGACGGAACTTTCACTGAAAGGGTGACTGACTTAGACGGGCATACTATAGGCTACTTTTATAGTCTATAATAAACTCCTTAGACTACCAAAGATAATAAAGGTTACATTAACATCATTATTTACTTTCACTCCTCAGACGCAATCGAGTCTGACATTTATAGATTTAATATCTTCAATGAGTAGAAGTCGGTATATTAAGAACTACGTATGTACTACAAACAATATCTGTCGAGACTGCAAAGGAATTCGAATAATGTCGTAAACGATCAATGTGCCAGTCTATTCGAGTGCGTAATAGAAAATACGGGAAACTACGTACTACTATAGTGTGAGTAAAGTGTGAGAAGAATTTATATGTGCCTTTAAGGAGTAGTAAACATATAGCGTCATTTTAAATTGGTTTCTACTGACGAGTTATGCAAAAACATATATTCGTCTCTGTCATTCGCTTAGGAAAAACAGAGATAACATAGTATTGTGAGGATGTTTTGTCAGTGGAAATCCACGGTTATACTTAATTAACATACGCCCGTAAGCGCTATGTCGTCGACACATACGCGAGGTAGTAAGTTGATAAACAACATAACGTAGGTTGTTTTTTGCTACTAAAGTTCACTGGACTATTAATCAGGTTTGTGTTCTAGTGATAGGCGATAAAAGGAAATCTATATTACAACTTAGTAAATAAACTCTAAATTAACTAAATAAACTGTATAGTCTTTCAGTCGTTAATTATAGAATTAGTAACAATCTAAAACATTATATTTCAATACAGCAAAAAAGCTTTAAAAGTTGTAATTTTTAAAAGCTCTGCATTTTCCATCTAACTTTTCCACTGTATTAGGGTTGTAGATTTGTTTCTGTGTTTAAAATGGTTTCCCTTTATGTAGAGTTTGTACTCATTTGTTTCGTTGTACGTATATTTAAAGCAGATTTATGTAAACGTAATTTTCGTTCAGCGAAAGCTGTAAAGTACATTAACAGTATTTTATTCGCTTAAGTAAATAATAGCTGAAATGTCAACGTTTAAACGTGACGTGAAAATTAATTGTTAATTAGAATGTAACCGAGTATTTATTAATACAGTAAATGTACTAGAGGTATATATTTTGTTAAGAATTTAAACATTCTTTAATTTATTGTGTTGAATTGAATGTTATACAAGAGAGATTGTTTCCTCAAGACAATATCGATACATACTCATTTCGAATACGTAAAAAGTAACGTAATTTACACTACAGACAAAGTAGGTTTAACTACTTCATACCGCCATCTTGCTAACATGATTTAATTTTGCAAGAAGATAGCATTTGGGAGTCGTAACGTCGAATTACAAGGAACTGAATGCTTTAAAATAAGGTGTTTCATGGACTGAGAGTTTAATTGAATAATTTGATTAATTGTAGCGAAGCCCGCCGCTCGGATCACTATTAACAATTACTAGACGATTATTAAATGGGACTTTACAAGACAATTTGCAATTACAAATTAGGAACAATCTAGCTCCAATTGCATTATTTTGGAACTCTTATTACAAAGTTAAGGAAAACTTAAGCATTAAAAATAGTTTACTCACCAAGACTTTAAATTCTAAGTTTACATTTTTTTGTTTGTAATGAAAAAGGCATAATACAGACTAATTTTTATCTGTAAATTTCCTTCAAGGTGGTTGCAAAAGGGTTCGGCATAAATCATAAATACAGTCTAGAAGGTATTGCTTCGATAGCAAAAAAATCTCAACATATATTTATCTGATCTTCAAATGCAAACCTTTTTCGGATAAACGATATATCAGCTTTCAAGTATTATGAAGAGTATTAGAAGAATGTTACGATTTCTACTTTAGAAATTATATAGAGTAGGAAATAACAAACTTTATTCATTGTAAAAAAACTTGCTTATCAGATGTTGCAACATAATTTTACTCGTCAAAACAACTTTCATATACATGTATCATTTTAACATTAATGTTGGCTGTGCACTATAAATTGGGTATTATTGCTCTAGTCGACGCGTCCTGTGGGAGTCGGGTCTAGACTTGCCGCTGTATTGCCTCTGCGGCTTCAACATTTCCGCCCGAGATTGAGTTGCAATTGGACCTTTAAAGTTTAAGCAAACACTTTCGAAGTAGCGGGGTAAAGCTGGGCAAATATACGCTATGGAAGTTTGTATCTAGGTCTGTTAATATATGTTATAGTAGGGATTATAATACGATCCTACAGTTTGTTTCAAATAAACACACTGATTGTGTAACAGGCCGATATCGGCCTGCCGCGGTACGTAAACTGGTGCGGGCGAAGGAAACTATGTTGATCTCGTTCGTGCGGAACGATTATCTCAGGTTTATAAATTATGTTTCCACAAAGTTATAGCAATTTAATCTATCCTAGTGCTGGTGATATTTCATTGGGGGCGCATTTAGCCTCGCCGCCGTAGTAAACGTGTTAACGGACTAGTAGTTGGTACTCATTGGTAACCATGACTTTTACATAAACAGCGGCTTTGGATACTTTATTTTTAATCATTATGAATTCTGTCCTTTTTGTTAAAGAGGATAAGTTAGAATTATTGTGTAAATTAAATTTTTATTCCTTTATCGTCAACAACATACTCACTTTTAATTAAAATCAGAGCATACAATAATCATTTTATTAATATTAACTTATACCAACAGTTCTATTTTATTCTTAAATTAATATGAGTAGTACTGAACAGTAGCTATTGACTATGGCTACACTCATTCTCGTCACAATGGTTATGAAAAGCTTGTTCAACGCCGCAGCCTCGCAGCTTCATCAAGGCAAAGCTTCGACAGGCGTCAAGTTGACGTGTGACGGCGGGAAATGAAAACAGTTCGCAAGGACGCAATCACAGCGACATCCAACACTCTCTTGTAACCGTGAAATCTCACTGGCGTAATACTTGTATTGACACATTTGTTGTCTCTGTTTTTTTTTCAAAGGGAAATAAGGGATATGAATATGAGTTTATACAATGCTTCGAAAGTCGATATCCTCAGTATTGTTTTCACAAGTTTGCGGTGACTATGTTCGGTATTCACTTTGATGTTGATGGGCATTAATTTTGATACTTGATTTTATTTTATTAAATGTTTATGCATGAAGGTAACATTTAATTTGGGTTAATGTTTGCGGT